GAATTTATCCAAATAAAGATCTACTTTTATGTTTCTTGAGCCGTAGATTTTGAAAATGACCTCCATTTTATGATTACTCCTCTGCATGTTAACTTATTTAAGTTTTTCAAATGTATCCAATATAAAGGTCCACTTTAATGTTTCTTGAGCCCTATTTTGTAAATGACCACATTTCAAGTTTATGCCACTGTGCTTTGGATTATAAAAGTTTTTTTTTTACTTTTTCGGTATAAGGATCTACTTATATGTTATCGGAGACGTTTGAAATTTTTTTAATCTTTCATATTTAAATTTATCTAATATTCGATCTCCATTTTATGATTAAGCCGCTGCATCCCGATTAATTAGGCTTCATTTTCAATATCAATATATTTTCGAGTATGAATAAATAAATAAATAAATATTATGAAGCTAAAGTTAAATTAACAGAATACAAACTAAAAAGCCGAAAAGCAACTGGTAATAAATTTAACCTACCGTATTCAGATTTTTCAGCTAATTGTTCGAAATCTTATAATTTTGTGACAGGAGACCACAACATTAAAAAAGATAACTAAAATTAAATTAAAAATGAGACAATACATATTTTATTTACTTTAATTACTGGAGGGCATCGACACTATGATTCGCAGGAGCGTAAAGGCTTTGGACTCCCTGTGAATACTTCCACGGCGATGTTGTATGCCTCCAGGAGATACCGAGGATTGGGATTAATCCGCTGCCAATGGGAGGCTCCTCTTCAACATTGGTCTCAGCAACTGTCCAATGTACCAGATGTCCTTTTTCAATCTACCTTCGATTATTTGGCAGAAGTTGCTGAGTGTGCCGAGAGATTGAGGATTGATCAGGGTCATCGAAATGTGAAAGCTCTACCGGCAGTCGCTACTAGAAAATGCATTTGAGGAATGGGCCAACTGCAGGTGGCAGGGTATTGGTGTTCGCCATTTTAAAGAGACCCCGAAAGCGAATAGATACATCTACGAAAAGCAAGTACTTTCTGGGTCTGAATGGTCGAATGCCCTACAACTAAACATTAAGTATGCACCCCTGCTTGGAGTCCCAGGAGTCAGCGGACAGGTCGGAGAAGTTGGGTCCCTCTGCCGTAAATGCGGCAGAGTCTGAAACACCAGCCCATGTGCTGGGAAAATGCCCCAACTACTCCCTCCTCATAACACGTCGTCACCACCGGGTCAAGTTCGAGTTAATGAGGCTCCTTAAGGAAAGGAAATTCACCTGCTTTGACGAGGTATATTGCATCGATAGTGAAGGCTCTACGAGATACGCGGATATCGTCGCATTTCCCAAGACAGGAAGGACAGCGCTGATCTTGGATCCAACTGTCCGCTTTGAGAGCAATGACCTCGATCAAGCGGGGAAGTGGAAAGGGAAAAGAAGAACACGTACGATAAATGTATCCCTTTCCTAAAAGATAAATTCCGTGAGACCTTCGGAGAGAGTTCACCGTGAGAGGCCTCTGGTTTGGATCTCGCGGAACTATCCCAAAAAGAACAAGGAGCTTCCTCGAGGAACTAGGTGTCGACATTAAGGACATAGCGAGGTTGGCTGAAAATATGATCCTCGACTCCCTGGGAATCATTCACTACCACGTGCATGGATAGCCCGAGAGTTTTAATTTATGTATTTATTTATTTATCTAATGAATGATTGAAAACAATAGAGATAAAGAAAGAGAAGTGAGAGAAAGGGAAACTAAATGTAAAAAAAAAAAAAAAAAAAAAAAGCATGAACAATGAAAGGAAGGAAAAAGGAAAAAAGGGGAGGAAAAAAATAAAATAATAAAAATGTATATATGTATATATATATTACTAATATTAACTAATACTTCTGTATATTTATGTATAAGTTCATATATTGTCCTAAGGATAGAAGAGTATGCTGTGTATATAGCAACCCAATATAATTGGGCAGCAATCCTTTATATTTTATGAAAATAAAGTGTTTCTCTCTCTAGTATTTTTCTGAAGTATATTATTAAATAAAAAGTTCACGGGAGAAAGAGGAAGTCGCATTTTATTTTTCTAAGTGGAGCTAAACATTTTAATATGTTCATATAATTGAGAAGAATAAAATATTTAAAAAAGCAGCTAGAAATGTGAATAGTCGTTTGTCAGAACTCTTTGACAAACTGAAGAAAGGAGGATTTCTAAAGATGATAATGATTTTGATTGTGATAAAAAAATGATTTTTTTAACATATCTCAGATGATTTTTCTTCTTACTTCCATGGACTATGTAGTACTATAGACTATGTAGTAAAGATCAACTATGTAGTACAGCAGGTATTAACAAGGTTATTTTGTCTAATAAAAAAGAAACCCTTCAAGCTTGTCTTAAAGAATAATGATTATGCCTTCGAACTTCATCAGCATTCAATTAGAGTAGTGATCTTCAAATATTTATCTTCCAGCAGCTTTTTTAATTAAAGGTTAAAATCAAGAAATACTTACTTATCAGAACATTTTTTTAAATTTTTTTTTTTTGCTTCAGTGTTAATACATTATTTCCTTTTTCAGTTCTTCAAGTAAAAACAAAAGGGTAACCAGTAAATAAAATGTTTTGTTTTTTTCACCGTAAAGTTCCGTGAAATATTAAAAAAAAAAAAGTGTTGATCTTTATAAAGAGAAAATGTGGCAATAATAATAATGAGGCTAACTCCTCAGTAAAAATTGAAGTCTGAAAATTCTCAATAACAGCAGTTTTTATTCATTATTAAAGTAAAATTACCATCAGTAAAGGTATAAATAACAAAAAAAGAAAGATAAAGCTCCATGTTCACTGCTTTTTTCGTCTTCATATTAATATTCAAGATGAATATTTGTGTATCCGCTGATTTAACATTCTTTATCACTATTCACATAGTTTCAGTTCCATACAAGACCACGGGACTAAGGATTGTCTTGTATACGTATATTGTATATATGTACCGTCAGACTTCTTTTTGTTAGGTTCTAGTTCAGAAAATTATAAAACCAGTTACTTGTCACTATTCTTGCTTAATAATTTCCTTTTCTATTTTATTATTTTTTGAAAGTACTTCCAAGATATTTAAACGTTGCTACTATCTCAAAATGGAAGTCTATTTCATTCAAGTAGTATTTTCCACCTATTTTTCAAAGTTTTCATGTATTTACTTTTAGAATACAATTATATTCATGTCTACATTTTTCACTGCTCCTTCGCATTCCTAAAATGCACCGAAAAGAGCATTTGTTGTACTTCTCGCACTTACTACATTGTCAGCAAACGCCAGGTGCTGAGTGAGCCTATTGTAAATATATCTCCGTGGGTTAGTGCTTATTGTCCTTATCACTACATCTAGCGCTATAATGAAGAGTATAGGGGAAAAGCTTCCTGATAGTCAATGATGAGATGATACTAGTTCGTTTTATTCATTTCATCACTCTCCATTATCTTCTATAACATTTACTTACTTAAAAAATCACAAACTTGGATTTCTTACTTTTCTGCTGAAAATTGGCCTATTGTTTATATCAACTTTTACTATTACAATTATTTTATATCAACTATTACTCCTATAAAAATTTCCCTCTATTTATGAGACAGCCTGTACAGTTTTAGTTTTGAACGAATTTTCATTTTTGAGCTAGGCAGCTCACACACACAAAAAGAACATTTTGCGAGATTAGGTTATTTGAACTCAGTGGACCTTCAAATGTGTACTTCTGTTGAATACATTGGTTTGAAATTTTTCATGACGGCAATATAATCTCATATTATATATTTCATATATAGGAAAGTAAATGTAAAAATATGATTTTTACTAATGTTAACTAACTTATTCTTTTACAATTTATATAAATTTTAAACCAATGAAATTCAAAAACAAATTTTATTAAACAATATTAATATAATTATATTAATCAATGTAAGGATTATATAATATCTGAGGATTGAAGGCTAAACGGTTCCTATCTCTGCGAAGGATCGAGTTAAAATAAATAATATGACAAGTAATAATATATTACACTAATTTTGTAAACATTTATAAATAAAATTAAAATAATAAAAAATGATTTGACAACGATATTTTTAACATTATAACCACTAGCTGGTGGTATATCAAGACATAAGTTGACACATGACAGCTGCGATGTGATTTATGTTAGTAGACTGGCTGAGTATTTTAAAACTGGAATGATAAATAATTCATTTATTTAATTTTGTTCATTAGTTTTATTTATAACAGTACATTTAGCATTAAATAAACAAAGGTATTTCATTTTTTTTTTTTTTTGCCTCATAATAAATAAATAAAATAAACATATATATTGGTTTATCTCAAAAATACCACTAAGTATACTTTTGATGAAGTTTTAAGTACCATATTTCAGAATTTTTATTATATATATATATATATATATATATATATATATATATATATATATATATATATGTATGTATGTATATATGTATGTATGTGTGTGCGTGTGTGCAAAATGCTCATATAAGTGTATCAAAATAACACTAACTCTATATAGGTCAAAAATAGCTAAATTTTTTAATTTCACAGAGAGCAAATTGATCATATTACTTACAGTTAGTGATTTAATTTTCTAAAATGTTATTTAATGACTTTTTGCAATGGATACATAATTTAAATACATAAATTTATGTAAAAAGTGGTAGTTATAGAATTTCAAGTATGTAATGGAATGACCAGATTTACTCAGTTGATAAAAAAGTTATATAGGCAAATCTGCAACTAAAAATAAATCCTTCAAATTAAATAACTTAAAATTCTCTGCGGTCAGTTTAATTTTAATAAAAAAACGGAACTAAATTTTTTTCATTTATTACATAGTACATAACGAAAGTTATTCAATTTAGTCACCAAATTTTATAGGGAAAACAAAAAAAAACATTTGTAAATGACTTCACTGGTGTTAGAATTTCACAATTCATATAACACAACAATACAAGCACACAATCTTATACAGAGAAATAAAGCTATATACATACTACTCCTCGTTCATATTTAATCCCAATTCTGAAAGTCCAAGAAAAAATAAAATTAATAACATAAACCGGAGTTTATAAATCAGTGGTTCTCAACCTTTTTTGATACACAGTCTCCAATAGAATCCAATGGTTTTTCATATTATTATAAAAACTATAATTACTATAATAACTGCAACACATTTTGTCTCAAATATACAAACATAGTTTATGTAGATACAGATAAAAATGAAGCCCTTTTTCGATACATGATTACATTGAGAACCACTTACATAAAATAACTAAGATTTAAGGATGATATAGTAGTTGGGGACCAGTCAATGCGATTTAAAAAACAAAAACAAAACTTTTATGTAGCATGAGTGATCCCTAACTAGTAAATAATCATTATATATTAATGCAGTCAACTACTTACCCACAAAAGTTATTGTTAACTATCTGGTTTATTATAAAAATTCAATATCCAAAAATTATTTTATTTTGTTTTAATCATTAATTCCAGAAATTATTCATTTAAAGTTTAATTAACAACTGCTATTCTGGGAAGAAAATGGGTAATACAACAGACAGTTTACCTCTCCCCTCCTCTGTACGCCAGAAACAGTGAAGTAGGAATTCATTTGAAAAAAAGAAAAAACCAGAAAAGAAAATGGGTGTAGGAGTCTTCCTCCAATATTTGCGGAATGATTAGGCCTCAATGGCTTACCCGCGGCTTCTGATTTCCCAGACCTACCTATCCATACTAATGCCTACTGCCACTTCCAAGTGGTGCTAAGCAGTACCGGCCTTCAACATTCGATACCCTTGAACAATGATACCATCTTCTCCTCCCCCCCCTTAAAAAATAAATCTATTTCTTAAGCTATTTTGATAATATTTGAACTTTATGTCATTCAACATTTTCTTAATACAGTTTCTTTATTGATAGGCTAAAATTAATTATTTAATACATTTTGTATTTTTTTTTTAATTTTTAACAAGTGGTGAGAGCCTCTAAAATTCGGCCAGCGCCCAAAATGGACGCCGATCTGAAGGGCCACTCTAAGGGCAGCACTAGTGCCTAAGACACAGAAACCAAACCAGGCCCTCGGTACAAAGCTACCCCAGTCTAAGGGTACAGCACCAAAAAAATCTTATGTTAAAGGTGCAAAAGCGCCATCCTCAATGCCAGCAGCTAAATATGTGTTCTCTCGAGCAGTGTTCTCTTGAGACCCTGAAGACAAGACTCAGGGCCTCCACAGTGAAGGGAAAAAATGAACATCCAAAGTTTTTCATAAAACTAAGGATATTTATTGATCATTTCATAAGATCGAAAAACATCCTGAGATTTTATAGAATAAGTCTGTATGTAAATATTCAAAAATTATTTCAAAATGCAAACATGGTTCTTAAATTTATTAGAAACAGTATAAAATGTTTCCGAATTTCAAAAAAGGAAAAACTAGTTAAGAGTTTTCAATGGGATGGGCGATGTGGGCAGAGCTATGATTTTGTCACAGTGATTAGCCGGAGCTGGTGATAGCAGTGACAGGAGTACTGAAATCATAACTTTGACAACAGAGTGGGAAGGATGGCCGAATGGGCTAACGCGTTGTGCACAGCACCACCGTTGCCCGGCAACCTGATACATGACAAATGTGTTATAAAAATAGTCAGGAGTTGGCGTTTCGGAGCCAAGGCGTCTCAAAAATCTCGACCCACACCCCCTGGATAGGGAAAACCCCGTATAGCCTTAACGGCTAGGCATATTTACGCCACCGCGTTTCGACTTATTTAAGTTTTTTTGATTTATTCGATATAAAAGTGTATTCTTATGCTTCCGGAGCCGTAGATTTTGAAAATGACCTCCATTTTAGTATTACGCCACCGCGTTTCGACTTATTCAAGTTGTTCGGATTTATTCGATATAAAGGTGTATTCTTATGTTTCCGAAGCCGTAGATCTTGAAAATGACCTCCATTTTATGATAACGCCACTGCGTTTCGACTTATTTATGTTTTTCGGATTTATTCGATATATGAGTGTATTTTTATGTTTCCGAAGCCGTAGATTTTGAAAATGACCTCAATTTTAGTATTAGGCCACCGCGTTTCGACTTATTCAAGTTTTTCAATTTTTTTCCATATAAGGGTGTATTCTTATGTTTCCGGAGCCGTAGATTTTGAAAATGACCCCCATTTTATTCAGATTACGCCACTGTGTTTCGACTTATTTAATCTTTTCAATTATTTTCCATATAAGTGTATCCTTATGTTCCCGGAATCGTAGATTGTGAAATGACCTCCATTTTAAGAATTAATTTTAATTAATCGAGATGCAGCGGCGTAATCATAAAATGTAGATTAAATATTAGAGATTTGAAAAATTTCAAATACTAATATCCAAAACACTGTGGTCTAATCATAAAATGGTGGTCATTCTCAAAAACTATGACTCCAGGTACATAAAAGTAGACCCTTATATCGAATAAATTAGAAAAACTTAATAAGTCTGAATGCTGTGGCGTAATTATACAATGGAGGTCATTTTCAAAATCTACGGCTCCGGAAACATAATAATACACTCTTATATGGAATAAATAAAAAAAACTTAATAAGTCTGAATGCTGTGGCGTAACCATACAATGGAGGTCATTTTCAAAATCTACGGCTCCGGGAACATAAGAATACACTCTTATATGGAATAAATCAAAAAAACTTAAATAAGTCGAAACGCGGTGGCGTAATCATAAAATGGAGATCAATCATTTCATAATCTACTACTCCGGAAACATAAGAATACACACTTACATCGAATAAATAAAAAAAACTTAAATAAGTCGAAACGCGGTGGTGTAATCATAAAAATGTCATTTTTAAAAACTAGGCACACGACAGCATAATACTAGACCCTAATAAATCGGAATATATATATATATATATATATATATATATATATATATATAATATACATATAATAATGTATATTTATATTATACTCATATATATTAACCAGTCCTGTGTATTAATATACAAGTTTTATTGATTGTCCAAAGGATTAACTAGTATGATGTGTGTTGGGTCTAGCAACCCAATATAATTAGGCAGCACACTTTTATATTCCATATGGAAATAAAGTGTAAATCTTTTCAATTTTTTGAACTTTGGATGACTTAAAGATTCATTTAAATAAAGCCACATATATCTGAATGAATAATTTCTGAAATAATCATCAGAGTTTGTTTTCACTATTTTAATTATTACTTAACAACCGTTTATTTTATAACTAAGTTATTCTTCAAAATCGTAAGATATTAATTATGGGAAAAAATTCCATTCTGAAATAAGTCCAAAACTCATGAATAGTGAAAATGTGTAAAATTAAAGAAATCAAATTATGACTATCCTCAAACTACCTTCCTATTATCCCCAATACCGTCTAACTAGGCAATAATAATCAAATACAATTTTAAGAATCACCTAACTTGCAATATAAATGAAAAATGAATTTGACATAAAGTAAACTTAAATATTCCTTGCAGGGCCGTAGAAAGGAACTAAGAAGCCCCAGAGGTAATTTTTCCGAGCCCCTGTCAAGTATTAGATTTATCACTGAAATGCTGTCTTCGTTAATAATGAATGTAACAAAAATATTGTTTAAACATATTACATAATTATTATATGGTATATGCTATGTTATCTGTATTTTATTTTAATATAAATTTAGAAGTTAGAAAATAAAACATTGTAGATTAGGCTGGACCCACTTTGGAACTAGTATGTACCATACAAATGAATCAAAACATTAAATATTAAAAAGAAAATGAATTATGTATAGCATGAAAACAATAATGTCATTGAATTTTTATTGTTAAATAAAATATGACTTCGAATTTACAAGAAAATGAAATCATTATGGTAGTCAAGATGCTACGAAGAAGAAGACCACATGGGATGAAGTAGAAAATAAGGCAATGAGGGGAAGTAAACTATGATTTCATAGTGATGCTATCACCATGTAGCAGTTATTCACCTTTTAGGTACTTCTTCACTAGCAGGCAGCTTTGAAACCTCACTTCTTATCTATCTTATCTAACATCATGTCACATAACCTCCCTCTTCTTATCCCGCCAAACCTTTGAGTTATTGCATTGTTTAGTTTTCAGTTATTCTCTTATTGTGTTCAGTTATTAAATTCTTTATTTTTGGCCCACTTGTGTTTATTTTTCTTTTTTTTTTTAGTTTGTGGCCCCTATGTTTTTATTTTTCATTTTTTTTTTCGTTTATTTTCATCATATTATGAATCTTCTTAGAATATGGGATTTGCCATCTTCAGAAGAACAGGCAATTCAATATTTTCAAAATGTTGGGATACTTTCAGACGTGAAATTGTGTTAACGAGGTCATCGAATGAAGTTAACCAGGAACGCCAAATGGAGATGCAGTCGTAGGACTTGTGACACAAAACTTTCAATAAGGAAAGGAACATGGTTGGAGGGCTCGAGGATTTTGTTTTTAACAGCTTTAAAATTGATTTATGGATGGCCCCATAACTTAACAATGATGAAATGGGGCAAAGAGCAGCTGAAACTATCCAATGGAGCTATGGTAACGTGGAACAAATGTCTAAGGGAGGTTTGTGCCCATGACATGTTATACAATTGACCTTTATTCAGACCAAGAAAAACAATTGGAGGACCTGGCAAAGTGGTTGAAGTAGACGAAAGTCTTTTTTTCTAAACAAAAAAATCATATGGGGAGAGTTTTAGCTCAGCAATGGATGTTTGGTGGAGTTTGCCGAGAAACAGGTGAGTGTTTTATCGTCAAAATAAATGAAAGAAAAGCAACAACCTTATTACAAGCAATTAAATACAATATAGAAGAGGGAATGACCATTTATTCGGACTGTTGGAAAGGACACAACACCCGACAACTGAACGAAGCAAACTATGACCATTCCCAAGTGAATAATTTTGTCGATCCATCAACTGGGGTTCATACTCAACAAATAGAACGATCAAGGGGCTCAGCGAAGTGGAGAAATAAAGTACATAGAGGAACTAAACATAGAGTACATAGAGCCAGACAACACCTCGATTCATATTTGTGCGAATTTTTGTGGTGGCGGGTTCACAGAGAAGAGGACCGGTTCCTCTCTATTTTAAATAGCATAAAACAATTTTGCCTTCCAAAATAAATAAGACAAAGTGAAAATAAATTGTACATATGTTATTTATAGTGTTGATATTTTTTCTTTTCTATGTAAATATGTTTTTTTATTATTTCATTTTCATCTTTTATAACTACATATGTACTTCAAGTGTTGTTTTATTACTTCATTTTGATCTTTTATATGTATATATCTTCTTAAAGTGTTTTTTTATTATTTCATTAATATATGTGTCGTAAAATAAAAGTATTTTTTTTGTTATTACATTTGTTATTGGATCTGTTTACACTTTCAATAATACAAATATAATACAATAATAGGAAGATAGGAAGTAGGAGAAGGCTTATCACTGTGTTATCGGAATTATCAGTGTTCAGGTTATAACTATTGGCAGATAGCAGTCAGTGCCAGCCTGCTGGTCAAGAAGTACCATATATAAGTATATATATATATATATATATATACATACAAAGTTATACATACAAATATATGAATAACATGCATATATGTATAGGTATTATATGTCAGTTTCAAAAGGAAAACACACACAGATACGACAAATCACGGTGATATATCAGTCAGAGCTGTGACAGAAAATCTCTATCACACCCGATCACTAATTATCAATAATACCATATTTCTACCTCCCTTGTCCTTAAGTCTGATGCCTGGGCTGAGAAAGCTATTGCGGGGATGAACAAATTTTTCTTACCGTTTTTTCATTAACTACTCAATCATTTTCAGCAATTCTTCATTACACGATAACATTTAGAACTGAGATTATATTTTTCAGAACTTGACAAGGCAAAAAGTATCAAAAAAACAAGGTGATCACATTGCATTTCATCATGATTAAAGAAATAAATTTCTCTAGGTAATAATTACATCATCAATTGTATTGATTACAGTTGCTAATGTAGTCATAGATATTGCTCATTAAGAATCAGATTATTTCAACATCAAGAATCAAAATTCAGTTGTATATTTGACAAATTTTCAAATGCCAAATGCCAAGTTTAGAAAGTTGCCCATATTATGAACAAAGATATTAGGCAACAGCAGTCTTTGATGTGAAAATTCGAATTTAATCATATATTTAAGATATATTGTCATAAATTATCCAGAAAACTGAATATAGCTACCATCCCCTCAATAGTAACACAGGGCATTAGGTTGTCATTTCTTATCATTAAAAGATATGAATATAACAACTAAATGACTTTAAATCGCATTGAAATATAATAGAATAATTGTTGAATAAGTGATTTAATTAATACTTACAAATAATCAATCAATCAACAAAGAACAAAACCGATGTAATAACTTCCTACAAAAGTTGATTTTCATCAGGTTCGTCCAAACTACCGCTCGAAACAAAGAGGTAGAATCTATCACTTAAAGATAGAAGTTAAATTTTCTTGCTGCCTGATATTGAAAAACATTGATCAGAAGAATTACTAAGATGCCTTCCAGCAGGAATTAAATTTACCTAATTTTTTTTAAAATCAATAATAGCCATTGTTTGAATATATATAAAGTATTCTTGTTTCATATTGTCCATTAATCCGGTTAAAAGTTTTTAATCATTAATATATAGCAGTGTTGAATAAACCAATCCCTACATTCTTCTGACTGTACCACAAATTTTATGTACAAATTTTCATTTTTGTGTTTAAAACTTATTTCGATCTAGGAATTGTTTGATGTTGGAAATTGGAAATTTTCTTTTAAATATGAACATTTACCCGATTTAGTCTCAGTATATAAAACATGGATTATGGATTAGACTGGTCTGAATTCCTCAGATCATCTTCACAATCCACCATGGAGAGGATTGTTTGTGTGAAACGAGTTTCAGCTTAGTGCTAATTACGGGAGAAACAACGCGAAAACGGAAACAATGATAGACGAGGATATAGTTTCGAAATGCATTATTAAATAAATTAAGAGTGGAAGACGCGATTGGTTTTTGACTCGGCTGATGCGTAATGATTCTGAAGATTTGCTTCTGATGGTATGAATAATAAACAGCCGAATCACACGAATCGGTAGCTGGAGATAGACTGGAGCGTGTCTCACCATAAGCGCCAAGCGACGCCCACACTGTCAAAATGTTGCTCATGTCTAACGTTGCATGAGGTCTCCCATTCAACTTTAGGCCTGCAATTTTTGGTCTCGCTAGAGGTTGGTCCATAGACTTCAATAAATTAATAAATAAACTAACAATAAATAAATAAATAGACAACCTATGGACTAGGATTGAATGTACGTTTAGATATTTCACAAACTATGGGACAAACAAATATATAAATAATAATTTCACTACGCTAGTATTTTTGTTTCTTTTTTAAATATGCATTTTTCATCTGTTGTCAGTATCTAGAGAAATAAAATAAATAGTTTAGTTTAGTAATAATGTCGCTGTTAGTTAAAGTAAATAATTGTGTTTCCCATAGTTTGTATAATGACTAAACGCATCTTTATCATACTCTAATAAAGATAGAAAAATAAGTTAAATATAACATATAAATAATAACTTAGTTAATAGTTTTTAAACAAACCTATACCAAGCGAAATTTTTGTACGAAATACGAACAATCTCATTATTTATGTAAATATGAGAGTCCTCGTAGGAACGATAATACTATTTGTTCAGCTCATTGAGCTATTTTCTGTACTAATTTTTTTGTTAGAATCTTAAAAATATAATTTTGCTTAAATTTCTCCCCTTCTAAAAAATTGTCACATCAGGCCAGAACTCATTTACTAAATTCCCTACAGCAGGTGGTGTACAAACTGTTTGTTCCACGGGCCACATTAAGACCTCCATCTAAGTCCCGCGGACGACAGCTTGTGATGAAAATGACACTTCATTTGTATGGTTCTAAACATGACACTTCATTTGAAAAATGAGCTGAAATGAAACAAAGAGTTATTATTTTTAATCAATGATGGTATCACCCTCGTTGTCAACAACCTCTTGCCATCTAATTTGCACATTTTCAATACAGGATCGATAAAAATCAATTGATTTTTGAGCAAAAGATATAGAGATGTCATTTTGGACATAATCCAAATTTTCAAATCTTCTGCCACTTGGAAAGTGTTAAAACGATCAAAACAAATGGAAATTCGATGGTGCATCATCTAGCGAGAATGGTGGTTGAGGCAGTACATCCATAAAAGGGTCTGTCGACCCTGTGGTAATGATGACCTTTAGTGGTTGAAACCCGAAGTATTTAAATCAAAAGTTCTTGAATAAAGCTTTTTAGGAGAGATTTGACCGTGTAAAACAAAACGGCCTTAAGAGGAAAAAAACATGAATTGAATATTGTAATAACCGCTTCTATGAGCAATTTGCTAAATTAAATACTTTTTAATAGTTTTAAAACTTACCCATGTAATCAAAAAAATTTCCCGGGCCAGACACGGCCCGCTGGCCGTAGTTTGGACACTCCTACCCTACAGGATATGAACAAATTAAGACAAGATAGTAATATTGGATCATAAACTTGAGCTTTCATGTTGCTTCCTAGAAATCTATTTCTATGGTAATAAACATCGATTTCCGAAATTGGAGGGAAAATGCAAATTTTTTGGCGGCATTTGTTATTTGACAATTACAATAGATATGATGAATATCTTAATTGCTTGAATTGTTTAATATTTTTTATTTAATTTGAAATTATGTCATATTGTCGTCGAGCTACTACTACGTAACAATATTAAAGTTAAATTTTAACTAACAAATATGGATTTTAAACGTACCATCAGAAGAAGTGTTATTCAACCACTGTATGGAGATTTGGAAGATTTGTATCCTCACAATTTGCAGTTATACACTACTCCACCGAACTTTGAAATTTCATTAAGGGAGTTAGAAGAATGCACATCTCAAAGATTAGCTAGTTGGTACTTTTATCATTAGTATTTTATTTTTATTAGTTGCTTTTAAGTAATTATTTTTTCTTAAGTACTTCAGACTATGGAAGAAGTTTTAAACCGTGGGCTTAAAGGAGATGATTGGCGTCAAACAGTTTTCAGTGAGCTTAGGAAACAAGATTTAAGGAACTTCAGGAAACTAGTGAGTTTCTTTTATTGTATTATATTGCCTTAGTATATCATTTTTAATGAATTCACAATATATTTGTAGATAACGAGTACATCCTTTAGTAATGATGAAGAGTTATATGCTGCAAGGAAACAAGATCATATATCGCACTTTATGTTGAGATTGGCATATTGTGATTCAGAAGACAAGAGAAGATGGTTTATTGCACGAGAGTTGGAATTGTTCAAGTTCAAATGGCATTATCTTAACCAATCAGAAAGACAACAATTTCTGAAAATTAATAATTTTAATTATGATGTGGTAGGTGAATATGAAATTTTCATTTATCATTATCGAGAGAGGAGATTATCTGGAGTGACAGTCATAAAAAGTCTAAAATAGTGAAATCACTTTATCATTATCATTTATCTTTTAAGTGTAATGGTTTAATGGGCAATGCTCATAAATACTGCTCTGCAGACAGGAATGTTCATTACTTGTTGCACCACTTTCTTCTATCATAGTAATTAAATAAACCACTTTGTCCTAGTAATGTTCCTCCCAATACCTGCTTTCAATCTTGTTAACTCTTTTTTGATTTGATACTTATCTGTCATCCTTTCTCCTGGCCCATATCAGGTTTTTGGGTCTCCTATTTATTTTCTTCTTTCTCATTTTTTTAGAGTTTAACATCAGGTGATAAAAGAGTGAAATTATTTTTACTTTGTACCTCCAATGACTGCAATCCCCAACCAACTTCTTATCAACTATATATTCAAATCTTCTGAGGACCATTTAATTCTACATTAATTTTATAAAGTAAATTTTAAAAAAATGGTGTACTACTTATTTGAAGTTTTCAGTATTAAAATCATTTCTCTGTTATGCAGCCGAACACCAAGAACAGGAATTATTTAATCTAGAGTAATATAGCTGTACTAAACGTCTGTGATCTAGTTTGTGTTTTTTTACAAGGTAAAGTTTGCTTTCTGTTTCATGTTTAGGAATAATTCAGACAGTTGTTGCATAATAACTATGCTGCTGATCACACTGCCTTCCGCCTATTCCATTCCGCTAAGAATTATGTGCCCCTTATTATTCTTTAATATTTATTCTTTATGATGTTGTGGACCTGATTTAATTTATCTAAAAAATTATTAATTCCACTCTTTTATCGCATATACCTCCTCATAAGAAACCCTGACAACACTATACCTCTGAGACTAGGCCGAAATGTATGTGCAAAAAAAAAATTATTTTTACTTTGTACTTCCAATGACTGCAATCCCCAACCAACTTCTTTTCAACTATATCTTCCAACAGTCAATCATTCACCATTAATTATATTTTTTTTTGCTTAGTTTCGGCCTAGTCTGAGAGGTATAGTGTTGTCAGGGTTTCTTATGATGAGGAGGTCAAGGCGATAAAAGAGTGGAATTAATAATTTTTCAGTTGTTTATTCGCCTAAAAAATAAACTGAACATAATAATAACATATGTATAGTTTTACAAATGTAAGTATTTTTCTCACTGTTTTATCTTGATGTTTTCTAGGTACAAGAAACAGAAAAACTAGAACTGTCCAGGAATTCTTTAGGAATGGTTCAAACTAGTACAGAATACTATAAAGTGCCGTTTGTTACGGTGTCTGATTTGGTAAGAGCAAGAAAAGTGTATTTATCAAAAGGAATGGCATTTATTGTAAGTGAAGATATGTCTTCTGTGATTGCATCTGTCTATAGATCTTCACTTTCTAAAAGTTTAGCAGTAAGTCACTTGAATTTTCAAATATAGCCATTAATCCTTCTTTTTCATTTATTTATATAATATTATCTTATTCTTAATTTAGTCAAAGTCAATTTCTGTAATCAATGGTCAATCTGTAATTTAATTTTGCTAGGGCATTTAGTTAAAATTGCTGTATCGTCAGCATAGGTAGCAGTGAATGTTGCAGAATTACTTGACCAGTCTTGGAAGAAGTGCCTCAAAGATTAATACTAGCTCCTTTACTCTACATTATATTTATTTCATCTCTATCTATGCCAATACCGGAGTCAGCAATAATAGAGTAACCACTACTGCCAATTTCATTCAGAGATGGGCAAATGCTACTCTGAGTACTGAGTACCAAGTATTTTACTCATATATTAGTACCAAAAAATGTTATTACTATTTCAGACGATTAACTGAAGTAATGATTGTATTCCCAATAGTAATTCAATTTGATTAAAATTCTTTCTCTCCCTCTCCCCACCCTTCACCCTCTCTCTGTTCAACATATATCACACGCAACACATTTACATACAGACATTTTTTTCAATTAATTTTGAATGTTAATCAGAAGCATTTTCTCCTGTACTCATGTGTAATCCAATTATAACATTGACGAAACTAGTTTGTAAACTTCACTTTTTTTTCTATTGCTATGTTAAATTCCAAATGAACTCATTATTAATTTTATTTTATTGTACTACAGTTCGCAGCTAGGAGAATTGATGACATAGCTGAAGATACCCGTATTTTTTCATTAGTAAAAGGAGCTGCAAAACGGGAAAGAGATGTAGATTACACTCCAGCTAATAATGGAAAAGTTGATATTAACAACTTGGATACAGTAATAAAAATTTTAATCTGATTTATTTTAAATGTAATTTAAATTTCAACCTTTTGAAACATTTTATCGAATTTTAGTTAGCAAAAATATCATTTCCACTATGCATGCAACAACTTCATCAAAGGTTGCGTAAAGAACATCATTTAAAACATTTTGCCAGATTGCAGTACATATTATTTATAAAAGGTATTGGTGTTACTTTAGAAGATGCTTTACGATTCTGGAAATCTGAATTCACCAAAAAAATGGATCCTGAAAAGGTATTTATAATATTAGTTTATTTCTGTTTCATGAAAAAATCAGTAGCTGATTCATATTATTGCTTTAGTTTGATAAAAGCCATGCCTATAATGTGCGGCATAGTTATGGAAAAGTTGGTAAAATGGCTAATTATTCTCCACAAAGCTGTTTAAAAATCATCAATAGTAATGTTGGTCCCAGTGAAGCTCATGGTTGTCCATTCAAGCATCAAGATCAGAGTACTTTAAAAAAAAATCTCCTTCAGAATGGACTTTCTTCCATAGGTACATTGATTGTTTTATTTAAAATATTTTAATAATTAATAAGTAAATTTTATGGATCTTATACAAATTTTTTTTTTTCAGATTCGCAGGAAGTATTGGACTTTGTTCGAAGGGGGCATTATCAAATAGCTTGTGGGATATACTTTCAGAAAATGCATGGGGTAGATAAAGTCATCATAAATCACCCTAACCATTATTTTGATGAAAGCCAGATGGTCTTAAATAATAAAACAATAAAGAGTGAAATCAAAGGTAATAAAAGTTTATAAGTATATATTTAATTAAAAGCTTGTTAATTGATAAAGGGCTTTATAAGACATTTTTATTTGAATAATGTATTCTATAATATGTATAGTCATGAATTATTTTTCTAATATTGTCTAATAAATAAACAGGGTGACGACCGACCTGGAAAAATGGGAAAACTCAGGAGAAAATTTAAAAGTTGGAATTTTTTTAGTACCTAAATATTTTTTTTAAAATTGAAATAAATATACAGTTCAAGATCATAAAGGATTTTACTGTCAATAACGACACTGTTCATTATATTGAAATCAAACAAGGATAATGAATAAAATTTAAGCAAAATGGACTTAAGTATTGCTTTTTTTAAAAAGAAAATCAACATATTAATAATATTTACTATTCATAATATGTATATCTATCTATGGACATTTTTTTTCTACAAAGTAATGAATTTCTTAATGGTAATTCTGTCTATAGATAAATATCTATTAGAAATTTTTTCAATCTTAAAATATAGAGTCCGGTCGAGCATCAACTTCTTAAAAAATTGTGTTTCACCTCATTGAATATTTCAACATCATGATAATTCTCACTAACTGTCGGCTAAACTTAATTCCATTCTTTGGTTAACTGAAGGAGAATGCTAACAGCTTCACAGCCTTTTTTTTTTTTTAAGTGTTTTTGCATATAGATTAAAATATCTCAAAACTAAAAATTGGACCTGCATATTGTTAGTGAGGGAAATGTTCATCATTTTATCCTCTTTGTAATGAACTATTATTCAAAATTTTATCGTAACGCGATATCACTTTAGAGAGTGCTAAAGCAATAAAGATAGTATCGATAACCAAATGATAAAGAGTTTTCTTGAACATATGGATTAAAATATCTCGAAAACTAAACATAGGACTTGCATAATGTAAGAAAGATAAATTTTCAGCATTTCATACTCTTTGTAATGAGCTATAAATCAAAAATGTATTTTGATGTGACGCCGAGTTAGAGAGTTAGAAAGGAAAAAATATATTGTTAATGTTATTACTTTGAATATAGAACAAAAACAAATTTATTTTTCCTATTATTAATCTCACCTTGTTGATGTTTTCACTTCTATTACGTGGTTTAAAGCACACCGCAGTTTTTAAAAAAAAATAGTATTGTGTAAAGAACCGCTGTCGCTCCTTAAAGATCATTTACCAACCAGAATCTAAATTACTTATGGTATGGAGATGGTTGACTGTTGGTTCTAATTTCAGAAGAATTAGACATGTATATTTAATATTATTGGGGACCTTTTTATATCAAGTACATATTATGCATACTGAAGTTTCTTCAGTTTTCTATCACAATCTCTTATTTCTCCTTTAATTAATTATTAAATTCTTTCATATTTTACCATTTTTTATGGCAGGTTATAATGTGAAATGGTTAATTTCTTCTAATAAAAAAAGTTAAAGGTACTTAAAGGAAGTAATTTTGAGAATTAGGCATTTAAGCCCATTTAGAGAACATCAATTAGAATAAAACCTACATTACATTAGAAATCTCTTAATTTTACACTGAAATAATAATTTTAATCAAAATCATTAGTGGTTATGTGCACTCAAGGGACTTCCAATGTGTATTTCTATTGAATACCCGAATTCAAAATTTTTCATGATAGCAATATTTCCCTTGCTATAATTTCATACATAGATAAGTGAAAGTAAAAATTATGAAGCATATTTATCTATTCCACTTTGTTTCAGTAACATTTTTGGGAAACAGATTACAGCTAACATAAACTGATTAGATATTTCAGAAACTGCATACATGTAATTTTTTTCATTTAGAATTAAGACTTTTCCCAGCTAAATTGTCCATAGACACATATTTAATGGAAGAAAGAGCATTTCATACATATTATAAAGATTAATTGTTTACACTATCTGTTTTTTGTATACCGTTATCGATGAAAATTTTGGTATTATATATTTTTTTTTTTTTTTTTTTTTTTTTTTTGCAGAGGAAAATGCCACTCATCCAAAGAAAAGTGCTGTTAAAAATGATGAACAAGATGTTTGGGGAAATGATTCAGGATTCGATTTTAACTCATTTACTGAGATAAATTAAGAGTGACAGAAACATTTGATGAATGTTCGAACTTCTTTAAATTATTTTGATCACAAGTATATGATGTGACTGCATATAGTTTTTAATAAATACAATTTTATTTTCATTGTTAATAAAATTTCAAGTATTATAATTTTATAATATGAAATCCAAAAATTACCCTAAGGTAAAGTATGTTCTACTGACTCAAAATTACTATAATTCTACTACAGTTACTTGGATATGTAATGGTCATCCACTAGGAGCTAATACTCATTCTTTCTTTTCTTTTTTTTTATAACCACTCCGATAATCACAAATCTATATTAGCAAGATATTGTCATTGATTTTATCTATCCAGTCATTTAAAAGTGGGTCAATTTTACTCCTTTTCTGATAAGGACTCTTCAGAAACATCTTAGAATAAAGCTGTCTGTCTATTCATTGTACCGGTAGTATCTGGTTTCCTTCCAATAAGCTGAAGTTACAAGACTTTAAAGAGAACTCTAGGCAAGTTTCATCGAAATCATTTGAGCCATTAGGGCACTATAGTGTATAAATATACAATAAAAATCTGGTGCACTGTGCACATCGCACAACTTCCCTTACCAACTTTAGAGTGGATAGGTATTTTCTTATAGGGAGTCTAAGTGAAAACGTTGGTATAACTTCATTTAAAACAATTAATTACCATGTTTTTTTCTGTCCATCGAATCAGTTAAATTTATAGATTTGCATCACTTTCCATTTCCTTTTAAGACTGTGTTAATAACACTAATGATTGTGGGAAAAACAAATCTTTTGGAAAAATTCTGAGTTTTTTTATCGGAAACATTTTTCATGAAACTCGTCGAACAAATAACAATGCTAGTAAAAATTGCATATTATTAGGTTTATATTATGGATAAGTGATACATAAAAGTTAAACTAACAAGACGAAAGCTCTGTACAGAGGCGAGGGTTATCTGGTGTCTGTAAAGGGAGAGGTTTGAGAAATGTTGGGGACTTTTGGCTAAACAGCCAAGCTTCCCACATAGCTCATACCCTATAGCTATCTACCCTTAAGTTACCAACAAATTTTTTTTCATTTACTATTATTTTATAGCAGGTTCAAATGTGAAATAATAAATTATTTCAAATTAAAAAAAATTAAAGGTTCTTTAGAGGAAGAAATTTTGAAAAAACAGCATTTAAGCCCTGTCAGGTTGCATCAATGAGGATAAAAATTAACTTGTAACAATGGAACAGTTGTAATAATAATTACATATTGAAAATAGATTAATTTAAAAGATATCAATAATATATTGTGATTGCCTCTTCAGTTTATTTAATACTTCTCTTAGAACTCTACCTGTCAGATGGCGCCCAACTAATTATAGAAGTACAAATGATAGTTAATATGGCAGCTAAAAAGACACAGTCTTATAAATTGTACCATCTCATTGAAAACAACCTCAAAGAGATACTTTTATTTACTGCGACAACCGCTTATGAAGCGAGTCGCCTAAAAGGTAGTCTCCTAGATTGCCTGTTTCGTTTTATTTAACACTCAGATGTAGATCGATTCATACCGAGTATCAAACTAAACAAAAGAGACAAGAATGTTGAAGAAACCAGTGCACTTGCTGGTCTACCAAATCTTTTATCCGGTATAGCTGCTGACTGGTCTTACGCAATCACGTTACTCAAAGAAACATTTAAAATACTTCAGCCTCCTTATTTAACATTTCCTCAGATTTTTTCAAACCCACAGACTGACCCAATTAAAACATCAGAATATATTTTTCAATTCCAAAAACATGTATCTTTACTTCCATACAGTATTAGTGTCGAAATGCAAATTGATATTCTTTACGCTCTATTGCATCCTTGAGTAATTCAACAATTTCCGAGGAAGTCAATGGACAGTTTACAAAGCCTTATTAATCGCTCAAAAATTCTTGTATTATATGAATCTAAGAATAAAACCATAGCCAAAAATAATCGCGATTCCAAATGCAACTTCTGCCACAAGTTTGGACATGATTATGAAGAATGCTGAAAGCAGTTGACAAAATTTACGAAGCATACCCTTCAGATCGATAACCCTGTCAACAAACAGGTATATGAGTTTACCAGCGCAGATGATGCTTCAGATTCAACTAATTACAACAATGCTATCACAACCAATGAAGGAGTTGATATTAATGCTACCAGTTCTTCTTATAGATTATGTCCGCTATTAAACATTAGTATTGGCAGTCTAACAGAAACTGCACTGGCGCCACAAGAAGCATCATGAATACTTTAATGTTTTCTCAAATACCAAGCGGTCTAAAGAAAAAATCTGAGACTCTATCCTTCACTCTCGCTGACGGTTCAACAAAAATTCTCGAAGGCATTAACATTTCAGTTGAACTAAACGTTAAAGGTCATGAAGTAAAACAAAATTTTATAGACTCTAACCATAATCATAACACTCGAACCATATTAGGCATAGATTTTATTTGCTCTACTAAAATGGCAATTAATGTAGCCAAAACATATCTTCATGATAAGGATCTTTTGTTAGGTAATATATCTGACAGAGATCTTCAACTCCGTTCCGATGAAGGAATGCTCCTCACAGACACCCTAAGAAAACCTCTTCCTAATACTCAAAACAAATATTCGAACATCTTCGGAGAAGGAGAGACCCAACTCCTTGGATTGAGCACTCAATACAGCTCAGCTTAAGGAAGGTCACACTCTTCTCGCGATGTCTCCCTATAAGATGAGTCGCACAAAAAAATATATTCTTAGCATAGAAATTGATAATATGTTATCAAACAATTTCGAAGAATGCGATTCTCCATTTGCCGCCCCTGTTGTTCTGGTTCCTAAACCTAATGGTAATGTTAAGGTATGCATTGGTTACCGTAAACTCAACGTCATAACTATCCCCAATAGATACCCAATGCCTCTCATTAGTGACACCCTGCATTTAGCAAAGGAATCAAAATAAATGTCAAACCTTAGACCTCCGATTGGGGTACTGACAAATAAAAATGAGAGAACTTAATCAAGACAAGACTGCATTCATCTGTCCCCAAGGAACATCCATGTTTCTTCGAATGCTTTTCGGCCTCGGAAACTCTGGTGCTGCATTTCAAAGACTTGTCGACCTATTTTGATCCTCTTTACCAGAAGTCAACATGTTTGTATATATAGACAACCTCATAGTCTTATATCAAAGTCTTTCAAGGCCTTACAATCTATAAACTTAAAATGAACCATGAAAAAAGCATATTTTGCAGAGAATCGGTTAAATATCTTAGCCACTTGATCACTCCAGCAGGTATTAAGGCCAATCCGTCTAAAATAATCTCTATTTCTGAACTTCCTCCTTTGAAAAGCCTAAAACAGCTTCATTCATCCAGACTTGTTCATGGTTTAGAAAATTTATAAGGAACTTAGCTGCAATAGCTGAACCACTCACAAGATTAACAAAGAAAGCTGCTCCTTGGCAATGGAAAATAGAGCAGCAAAACTTTCAACTAATTGAAAAATCTATTGACATCTACACCCATCCTTAAATAAATAGACGAAGACAAGCCATTTACCTTGAGGATGGACGCCAGCGATTACACATTCGGTGTCGTACTTCTCCAATCACATGATGGTGAAGAACACCCGATCGAATATGCTAGCCGCTTGCTCACTGCTGCTGAAAAGAACTATAACGTTACTAAACGCGAAGCTCTAGTAATTGTCTGGGCTACTGAAAAATTCAGAGGTTACATCTAAGGATCAAAAGTATCAATTGGACCGGATCACCAAACCCTAAAATGGCTCATGAGCTTAAGATCTCCTTCAGGAAGACTTGCAAGACTTTGATCTTGAATTCATATACACTCCCGATAAAGCTAATGTCACAACTGATAAATTATCTTGGCCACCTATCTATGCTACAGTAGATGAGCACGACCCAAACTATTATAGCTACGTTACCTCAAAAATCACCTGCCTTGACAAGAAAAGAGCAAATAGACGATCTTGAATTAGCGAAAATAATAAGAGAATTTGAAACGGTATCATCTGTCACAAAGGATATTTTATGTCTAATGGTATTCTTTATTGATACAACCCATCAAGCGAAACTGATGAAGCTTAACTTGTAGTTCCAGAAAGCTATAGGAAAAATATCATGACTCACCTATGGCTCAGTAAAAAGACTTTCAAAAATAAGTACAAAGTTCTACTGGCCTGGCATGAGAAGATTTGTCACTGAATACATAAAGAATTGTATGGAGTGTCATTTCAAAGCTACTAATCAGGAGCCTCAGGGTCTCATTCACACTAGACCAATGGCGGAGCGGTTCAAAACTTGCATTCAACCTCTTTGGACCTTTACCGACAACAAATTCTGGGGAAAAAATGGATCCTTATAACAGAAGATATGGCCTCACGTTGGATCAAGTTGTTCCCGCTAAAAGATGCTACATCAGCTGAATGCACAAAAACTCTCATTAACGAGATATTTCTGAGATAAGGCCTGCTATGTGTCATCTCAGATAACGGAACACAATTTATCAGCAGGCTGATGAAACAAGTTTGTTCCATTTTGCGCATATATCATAAATTCATACAACATTATCATCCACAAGCCAATCCTGTCGAACGACAGAATAGAGACTTAAAAACACAGTTAGCAATACAAGTTGAAAAACATCATAACACATGGGATTCCAAACTCCTAGCAATATATGCTATGATCTCTACCAAACATGAGGGTACTGATTTTACACCAGCAAACTGAACTTTCGGACGCGAGTCAAGATCAACCATTGAAATTATGACCTGCAAATTAGCCAAGCAAAAGATATATTCATTTCTGAATTTACTCCTTTTCTACTTAACTTAGGTGAGATTCTCGTAATAGCAAGAACAAAAACAATTAAATGTCAAAACAGGCAGAACACTTATGCCAACTGAAAAAGGAGAGTAGCAACAACCGAATACCTTCCAGGACAATATGTATGGGTAAATACTCACCAATTGAATAATTCAAACAAAGAAGTAAAAAGCAAGTTGTTACCACGACGGGACGGTCCCTATTTCATATAAAGAAAGTTGGGACGATTTCATAAAAAGAGAGTTCACATACGGAATAAGGGACCCAAGAAAAAATTGGCCTAATCTTTGGTCGACGGCACTCATCTCAACTTACCACCTAAGAGATCCTCAAAATATACAGCCACAAAACCCAAAAAGAGCACGAGGTGGACCCCGGAACGTAAAATTTACATCCACGCACTTATCGTCAAATGATTCTGCTTTCAGAACGAGGACGAACACTGCCAGCGGATGAGAAAATTAACAATGGAACATAATAATAATTAGGTATTGAAAATAGGTTAATTGAAATTACAACTGTTCCCTTGTTAAACTCCCCCTCTACTGGCAGTGTCCGTCCTCAGTCTGAAAGCATGTAATTAATTATTGACGAAAAAGTTTCTGTAACGTCTTGGACATATAGAAACCATAAATACACAATTTCAGTTTCATATGACTTCGTGTGCTGGGCTGTTCACTATACACACACAGAGACCATTTTGAGGGACTTGGTTGTTTAGATTCGGGGGACTCAAAACGTGTATTTCCATTGAAAACTCAGATTCAAAAATTTTCACGATTGTAATACTTACCCTTACTATACATTACATATATAGGTAAGTAAGAGTAAAAAACTGCTTAATAAGCTCAAAATAAGAATCTAATGAATGCTCACTTGTATCTTATCATTTTATTTTGGTGAGAATGAGGAAGGTAAATATTCTATTATATTAAAATTAAGAAATTAGACTGGTTTTATTACAAATTAATTTTTGTAGTTCACAAGTTCAACTAAATGGTTTAATTGTACTCACAAAAAAAATGTATAAATAGTTAAATATTTAAATATCATTTTGTTCCCTTTTCTTTTTTTTTTACAAATTATAAATCTGATTTGTTGAAAACGATGTATATACTATTAATGTACACATATGTATAAAAGATTATAATTAAATCTTACAATAAATAACATCTGTTCAATCCTGAGAATGAACTGGCATCATTTACTTAGCCTTCAATTCTTTTTTTACACTTTCTTCTTCTTTAGGTTTTTCTTCTTTTTTGGTGCTTTCTTTTTTTTCGGCATCACGATTACTGAGTTTATTATTGATCAGATTATGCAAGGCAACAATAGCTCTAACGAGGGCAGCGAGATAAACGACAAGCATCTGATCATTTGTTTTTATGTATAATGAATCAACAAAGTTCCCATGGTTCATGTCAGGAAGGAGATTAAATATGTCTTGAAGCTGATATATTATTTGATGGTTGATGGGCAATTTTCCTTCAACAACCTAGAAAATATAAGCAAGAAGTATACAAATAAATTTAATAACAATATAATCCATCTTCCAATACAATAAAATGTAGTATTATTTTAAAAATTCAAACAAAATTTGGTACTTGTGAACAGTCTGGTCAACAGTAAACCACCCTTCTTATCTTATTTTATGTCACCTTTTAATCTCGTGTAAGCTGTTGCTTTATTACATTGGTTATTTTTGTTCGATTGTTTATGGTTGAAATTGATGTTATTACATTGTGGGGATTGCCGTCTTCAGAAGAAGAGGCTATCAAATATTTTCAAGATCCCGGGATAATTGCAAAGATGAAATATTGTGATGAAGGTCGACGGCACAACGAAATGGAGATGCTTTCGTGGACTTGTAACAAAATTGTATCTATAAGGAAAGGAACGTGGTTAGAGGAGTCAAAGATTACCTTTTCAACCACTTTAAAATTAATTTATAGGTCGTCTCATAATTTGACTACAATACAGTGGGGCAAAGAACAGCTGAAACTATCAAACAGGTGTATCATAATGTGGAACAAATTTTTAAGAGGTTTGTGCCCATAACATGTTGTACAGGTCGACTAAGAAAATTGGAGGACCTGGAAAAGTCGTTGGAGTAGACGAGTCTTTTTTCTAAAAGAAAAAATCATGTATGGAGAGTTCTCCCTGAACAATAGATGTTCGGCGGAGTTTGCCGAGAAACAGACGAGTGCTTCATCGTAAAAATAACAGATAGAAAGGCAAGAACTTTATTAGAATGTATTAAAAACAATATAAAAGAGGGAAGCATCATTTATTCTGACTTTTGGAAAGAATACAACAACTGAATGAAGCAAACTATCATCATTTGCAGGTGAATCACCGGTATAACATTGTTGATCCATCAATTGGGTTCCATACTCAACACAGAACATTTATGGGGCTCAGCTAAGTGGAGAAATAAGAAACATTGAGGAACTGTGAGGCAATACATCGATTAATATTTCTGTGGCGGCAGGCTCACCGAGAAAAGGACCTCGCTATTTTGTCTGCCAAAATAAAGTATGAACATATATGCGTAAAGAAAGTGTTTTATATATATGTATGTTGTAAAATCAAACTGTTTTGTTATTTATATTTCTTATTATTAAATTATAATATTATTATTATATTTATATTTCTTTTTGTTTTAGTCTATTTTAATTTAAATTAAAATCAAGGTGTTTTGTTATTCTTACATTTCTTTTTGTCTATTTCATTTATATCTTGTAAAATAAAAGTGATTTTTTTAATGTTTTTGAATTTCATAGGAAGATAGGGGCTATAAGTGTCTTATCAGTGTTCAGGTTATAAACATAGGCAGATAGCCCATACCGACCCGAATGTTCATAAGCACTGAGAGATTATACTTTAAATGTTTAAAATTTTCTGAGAGATTATACTTATTATAAGAAAAGTTCTTCATTTATACTTAGTAGAACATTATTTAATACCAACCATATCGATTATCAGCACTGTCAACTATTAAATACATAATGTAATAAGTTATTATTGGAAAACTACAAACAGAAGCCTATAGTTATTTATTTATTTTTTTTGTTGCTAATTACTATCTTGTCAATGCTTCCCCTATTCAAGAAATATTAGAACTATAAAACACACAAAAAAAAAATTATGGATTTCAATCTTACAGCATAGTTCAACAGTGTTGTGGTTCTTGTGATTAGTAAGACAAATATCTATGAGAGAAGCCCAAAAATTACGGGTGTAGGTTAGTGTTTACACAAAAAACATTGGCAGAAAATGATAAACTATCATAAATGGTTTAAACAAAAAAAAAATTAAACCTGCATAAGGTAATCCCTGATGTCTTGAATTTGTTGATTAAGGCCTTTGAGACCAAGAAATTGATTAGTAACCCTTTGCGAAAGTGAGCCGACAGTTGTATCTTTTATATCTCTCAGCAGATGTTCAACACCCACTTCCTCTGCTTCTTCAGCCCCTATTTCACTGGGAACATGCTCAAATGTTTTTGTCGTAGGAGAACCATCCTAAACACAAAATATTCTAATTCAAATGATATGAAACAAAACTATTTTCAGATATAATAATTGTGAAAAATAAAAACATGTAATGTAGTTTATAGTAATCAAGAAAAAAAGTTGTTTGTACAAAATTAATATTATACACAAGATAACAGAAATAATTAGAATAAATATGTGGATGAACCAAAAAAAGAATTGAATGACCGTCTTCCAAACTGATACAATTGTATTATTTTTGTAGCAACTTCCTATTCTGTACTCAATTTAATTCCTTAAATAGGCTGTCATACATAAATACTAGGACTTTGTCATTTGACTTCTAAGTTATATTAAATAATGGAGATAACAATCTTTGAAGTAACTAATTTAAACAAAACATTTCTTAGTTTTATCAATAAATGATTATTCTATGAAATGCTTAAAAACCAATTTGTAAACTTTAATCATGTAAATGTTAAATGATATCATCAATTATTTTGTAATCAGAAATTAATAAATAGCATACAAAATGTATTGATCCACAACAATTTAAAATTCTTTTAAGCAAATGAATAAGCAGTTGAACAGAAACGAAACGAATTCTTCACAATCAATTATTTAAAAAAGCTTTCATATGGGAAAATCAGAAAAGCCTATTTTGAAATATTAGAAGACATCTTTAAGATTACTATATTTACTTTTACTAAACAAAGTAAATCTAATTATATATAAAAGAAAATGTACATATTTTCTAGAAAAAGTTGCTAATACCTACTCCCTGAAGTTCAATACCTAGTTCTGATAATTTATGAAATATATTACTTTTTCAAAATCTTTTCAGGAATTCTTAGCTATTTTCAAATCAGAGCTGGAATGTTGACATGTAAATCATACACTACTCTAGAAAACACAGTACTACTTAACAAGTGTTCTTTCTCTTTGTTGGTTGGGCACAAGATCTCACTATATATGGAATTCTCAGAATAGCCCCAAGATATGTTCATAGGAATAACCTTCCTTTATTGAGATCGCAATACAACTTTGTAACAGGTACTTTTCAGTTAAGATGGGGCCTTAACTTTAATTACATCACTGCTACTGACTTTTACTCGCTCAAACGTAATAACAAACCACCAACAGGTCATTTTCATTTGAGGTTGAGTTCATAACAGACAGTTCAGTCACATCCACAAACTTTCTGAAACACTCGACCATATTTGGAATATCCATGAGATCTAATGCCTACCCATCAAAATGAGACAATTTATAAATTAATACCGATCAAAAAAAAATTCCTCAGCTTTAATCATTGCTTTATAATGACATTTTAGAATTTACATCCAGATATATTAGGAATGTGACAAAAAAAAAATTAACTATTTCTATATAGTTACATATATGCCTCAATGCTGACAAATAATGATATAGAATTGAAAACATCCATCTACTCAATACTACTAAGCCAATTTCAGTGTTAATTAAAATTTTAATAACTCACATCATGTACTTCTTCAACTGCTCTATATGCTTCTGTAGGTAAACCAAGATCCTTTGGTTTTGCATCGATAATAACAAGAACTGAGTTAGGGCAGTAACGGCGTATAAGTTCATTAATTGCAACATCATTTTGATGTAACTTTGGGCCTGTATGATACCAGCCAACAACTTTTTCTCTTGCTAAAATATTCAAATGAGTTTTCAATATATAATAAGTATAAAATTAAGGCAAAAATAAAATACAGAAAAACATAGCTCACCATTAACTTTCTTAAACATGCCATACATATTTTCTAAATAATCATGGTCTAAAAACCAAACTGATTTGTCTTTATCATCTTCATCAAATGGCACTGTAACTCAGAGTTAATTGATCACACAAATCGAAATAATCAGTTATTAATCATAAGTTAAAAAAGTAAAATATAAACCAACTCACCTGCAAAACTATTAGATACGTCTAAAACACCTTTTGCCTTCCAGCATCCTAATAATACGCCAACTACTCTCTTCTGATTCCCAATTTTACCCATTCTATTGAAATGATCAACAACACTTAATAGAACTAAAGGATGAACAACGACTTTGTTAGTAACATGCTCTACTCCTGGCATTTTTAATTTTGAAGAATATTAATGTAATGTATGAAAAAGAAATAGTATCAATAATATTTGATTCTAAATTTGAATATTTACGAAGAAGGTTTCACGCATAAGCTAATGCCAGTCACCAACAATGTATCCAACATAACAGCATCGAAATAACAATATTAGTTATCATTGATAACTTCATAAGCAATCAATATTCTTAGTTTTTAATGTCTCGTAAATTTAATGAAAACCATAAACAAAAAATAAGTTGACCCAGAAGTAGATCACTGATGCAAATTCAGTCAGTTTTCTAATATTAAGAATAGTCCTGATATTCTGCACTTCTCAAGGTTAGTGTACAGATGGGAAAAAGTTTTGGTATTTTTATTTAAAAATATGAGAATATATGAATTCCTGAGGGGTCACTATGACAGCTAGTGGGAAACGCTACTTTTTAACAAGAAAACTCAGCGCGATAGCGATTACTGGGTCCAATCATCCTCACAGCTCGCTGTCATATCATCTAGTTAAATCGGTGAATTTCGACTGTTCTCCAATCCTGAACCCCGAGAAGAGTTCTTCTAACTCTTTGACACCAACCATTCACCCAAGCTTGCGGTGGCCTCCTGCTTCCGGATAGCCCAATTCAAGCTACATAATCAGCAGAGCGAACACTAGAGCTCAACAAGTCTTACAACATTAGACTCCTCGTGTAAGGGTAATCTTGTATTAAATCTCAAGAAGGCACGTGTTTCTCAAACTTACATAAACATTGGTCATTGTTTTAAACGATCTTGTTTTTTTAGCTTTTGATTTTTAGCTACTTCTGAATCCGAACACTGTTCAAAATAGCATTATCATTCCTTATCTTACCTGTAATGTCGTTACCACAGTTGCATACACTGTTCAGTTCGTTATGATTAAAAAGGACCATCTTAGACGACATCTTCGTAAAAACCAGCTAGTTCGAACAGCTATGTTATATAGTAACAGCCATATTTGGTTGTATAGTTATTAACATTAAGTCTTAGTTTCACGGCAGCATGATAGAGGAAGTCCTCTTGTACTGTAGATTTTGATCACTCAAACTTCTCGATCTCATCAGCTTAGTCCGGAATTTCTACCATACGATTCCGTTGGTGATAAACGATGATCTTTACACTGCAATGGATCACTGATTTTCTAATAGCTTTTTCAAACCAATATTGCACAGGGGCAAGGGATTCTACTTAATGCTACAGAGATGGCGCTCATGGTTTTCCCCACAAACCATCAGTTGACTTAATAGCATGACAGTTCACAATTATGGATATTGACCTGACTGAGTATTGAAACAATCCTGTCTATTCATTTCGTCCACATCTTTTTTCACACAAGCGATACGATAATAATGTGACATCGCTCCACTTTGACGAATAGGTTGATCTTGCATGGCCTTTACATAAGTTGAATAAGACTGTCAGCATATTTTCGATTTTAAGCATTAAGTCAGACTTTAGGCTGATTCTGAGCCGAAAGGTTGAAATTTATTCCGTAAGTCTAACACGAAATAATTTCCAACCCACTTAGACCGAATTCGAACCGGTGCTTCTTGACTCGAGGCTGCCAATGTTATAGCCCCATCCTAAACGGCACACTATCTCCAGTACCACCCATGCACCAACCTTAATCCCACCCACGACCCATATGCCTTACCACGTAGATGCACTATCCTTAAAACCTCTCCAAACCTCGATAATTTATTTTGTATATTATACAATGTAATGTAAATAAATTATCCTTTAATTTACGAATTTATAGGATATTATTTATTTGGAGAATATTATAGTCCACATTGAGTTAGTTTGTTCCAATCCATGTTTATAAATTTTTTTTATTGAGAGTATTTTAATAGGTAAGCATGAAATTCAGTGAATTGTAACGTAGTAAAAGTCCTACTTACCTAAGCCCGAAATGATATCTAATTAGATTTACCGGGAAGGTCTAAAGTATTATTTTCCCACTAATTTAATTTTTGTTTTTCAAAATTTTAATCATCTCGTGTGGAGTTATCCTACTGAAATTATTCCATCTGCAATCTGTAGAAAAAAAAAATCATTGCGAGCTTAATTAATTGCCTGAATTTTCCAATGAATCTTTTCACAGAAACGTTGATGTTTTGTTTTGCGATAGTTGTGAAACAAAGATAAACAAAAAAAATCGGCGTTGGCTTTAAACCACACGATAGAAGTGAAAACATCAACAAGGTGAGATTAATTATATGAAATATAATTAATTTTGTTTGTTGCCTCTTTAACACGACGTCACGTTGAGATACATACAATTTTGAATTATAGCTCATAAAAAGAGGATGACACGCTGAATATTTCTCTAGTTTTTTTTTTTTTTTTTATTTATTGATATTTACAACTGTATTATAAAAAAATACAACTAGTAAATGTGCACACAATAATAATACAATCACATGATAACTCTTGTTGAGAAACTACCCGTTGGTAGCACTCTAATGGAAACATTTAAATTTGTTTTTAAATATTTCATGCTCCACAACAAGTATAAAATAATTATATTTATTTTTAGGGCCGTCGTGGACGAGCCCTTAACATTCTAGACCGTCACGGAAGGATGTTCTAGAGCCGCAACCAAACCTATTCTAACCAGAGTGGAAAAGTCGAGATTCATTCCATGTACCTGCAACGAAATACATTTCAACCCGCCCAAGCCAAATTTGAATCGGTGCCACTATACTCGACAATGTTAAAGCGGGTGACTCTAACAAGCTCGGCTCTCACGTCCTGAAATTTAAATATTTACTCTAGTGTTAAGATGCAACATTCGATAGCCGAGTAGCCCTTAGCACGCTAAAATGCTAACAGATACCTGATAAAAAGACTGTAAGAGACTTTAATCCATGGTCTCGTGTCATGTGTTAGCTACTAATGCCTAGCATGGATGACCTGCATTAGTTATAATAGTTTTAAAAACTAAATAGGACGCAATAAATCTGCAGGTGTTGCAAAATCGACGGTCTTTATTTGAACATCAATGTGGGTATGGGATGGTTGTTTTACTTCGATATTTTCTTTGTCTTACGAATTTTTTTCGACATTTATTTATTTCGATACTGCCGTGGCAATACGTGTGTATGCAGTAGTTTGTTATTAACCATGAATGCTTCATAACACACCGTGCTAGTATAAAAGCAAACAATATTCAAAGCTGTGCTCACAGCTAGCCCTTTTTACTTTTCATGTCTTGAATGACTAAAGACTGGCTTCCAGAATCTGAAGGTCTGCCCAGCACTTGTCATGTTCTCTCTTCTTCTGCAGGACATCTACATTGAAGTGAGCTGGACACACTGCCGTCTTCCAATTATTTACGAATTCCTCGAACGAAGAAAAAATTTTTCATTGATTAACTGAGGATATTCAGTTTCTGTAAGGATGTAGTTTCATTATGGACATACCTCTCATCATTATGGCCCTTAACGCTTTAGATGCGGTGCAAGTCGTCACCACGTGCCCCACAGTTCCCGGAACATCCCAAGCTGGACATAGAGGATCTACATCAATGCCAAGACTAACGTGTTGTCCGAAATCCTCTATGGCCAGTGAGAGATTGGATAATCCAGTAATCCCGGAGGACCCACTTCGCTTTTTGGCTCAACTATATCGTGGGAAAGTACTTCCTTTAGGTATTGTCATATACCACCTGCTCCATGTCTCATTCCCAGGTTATCGACTTCCTCATATTGGGTTCCCATAATCCTTACCCAAAGTCCGAAATTTCCGGAAGTCCTCTCTCTTATATAAATATTTCTTCATTTCTCATTGCAGGAGGTCAATAGCAACGACCCATGCTAGGAGGTGCGAAGGACTGGTGACCAGTCGCAGAACTGTTCGGAGTCGATGCTTACTTTTGTCTCTGTCTTAGTGCGAGGTTCCAGAAGGGAAGCGCATAATTCAGGATACCTTAATGCATTTAAGCAACTCATTTATAAATAGTGATTGTGGCTGGATATGCATGGCTCCAACGCGACGTTGACCGTTTTTTGTTTGGTCTTAGTCTTAATGGCCTTTGTCTTCTCATAACTATTTCTACAGTGCAATTTGTTTTTATGGCCCCGTTAAAGACCTTCATAGCACAGATTCTTGAAAAATAAACTAAAACTTATTAGTTAGTTTACTATTATTGAACGCAATTTTAACAATGAAGAACTAGTGGTACTGGGGAGAGTTGGAGGATTACGTCTGGTATGTGGGCTTGGTTCTTTTACCTGCTCGAAATAAACAATGAATAAACCTGTTATATATTCCTTCATTACGAATCTTCTGTAATTTTCTCTGAAGGTGTAGAAAACTGTTCAACTGAGGAAGGCTTGTGATCCTGAATTTTATCTGGGTCCAATGAATTATAGATTAGAGACACGTATTAGTCGTTGTTCGCTATATACAGTAAAGCAGTGGTTGTCCAGATTAATGGTATATTTTCTCAGCTTCCTTTTATAAATATTTTAAGCTTCTATATAAAGAACATTAGACAGAATCCATTCAATAGAAACTCATATTTACCTCAACACATTTACAGATAAAACATGAAGATTCTGGATAGAACACCGAATAATCTTTTTAAATTTATAACTTTGATTACTTTATTTTGATTGATTAAATAAGAAAAAATGTGGATTACTTTACGTAATATTTATTCCTTTTGTTAATTGGAATGAAATGTGCTTTCCTGACAGATCCTCCATAGTTTTTGAGTAAGTGTGAGTTGTAGTGAATACTTCCTTGGCAGTGATTGGTTTTTGAAAGGTGTTTTAACTGATGTTATAATGTCATGTCAGAAATGAATGTGGCTGATGCCGCCTATGAAGTAAATTCAGAGTTTTAAATCAAACTATCTGAAATATTTTCTATATTTTGTCTATTAACGAGGAATGATAAAAATATAGTACAAGATGTATTATTGTTCTTTCATTTTACTGTGTTTGTGTTATTTGACAGTTTCTCAAAACATAGTGGCAAATTCAGCTGCTAGTTCTAGATTTATGAATTTTAATGAAATTGAAAAAACTGGAAAATGCAAGATTTTAAGTAGTATGTGTGGTAATGTTAGTGATGATTTGGATGCCTTGGATTGTGCATTTTCCTATAAGGTAAAGTTGCATGTTTTTTTATTATTCTGTTGTGATTTATCATATAGACCCAGTGATTATATGAACCATATTCCGTTTTAGGAACGTACTAATAGAATATCAAATCCAATTGATGAACAATGTCAACATGTGATTTGGAATTACACTGCTGAACTTCTCAAAGATTCAAAGCTACAGCAATTGGTAAAACATTATTGCTCAGGAAATGCAATTTATGATAATTGTATGCAGGTGCCTAAGAGCCACTTTTTAACTTGCCTTGTTGACAAGTTAAATGACTATCCTTACTCACCAGATTGCTCAAAGTCAATTGAACGGTTGAAATTCCTTACATTTGTTGATCAGAAATTCCTGTTTTTGTATTTAGAAAGCTGTCAGGATGAAGTCTCCAAGTTTAAGTGTGGTAGAATTCCTATTCAAGAAGTAATTATATATTTTTTTGTTTAGTGCTTTAATGTATTTGATTACTTACCTAGTTTTTCTATATTATTTTATACATTTTTTTAAGGGATTTTCTGGTAGTACCACATTATCATGTTTGCAACACCATTTATTAAATCTTCAAAAGCCTTGTCAAAGTCAAATTTTACGATTATCTGAAGTTCAAGCTGAAAATATTAAGTATGACCAACAATTATTTAAGAATTGTGTTGATGAGCAGCATTTCTTTTGTAATGATATTCATCCAGGGAAAGGTTTAATGTACTTATGCCTTAGCCAACATAAAGAAGAACATAGAATGTCAAGAGATGTAAGTAATACTTATGTATTGGTTTATAGATTTTTGTTTTGATTATAAATGGAAATTACAATTTTTATTAATTTTTTTTTGCAGTAATATGAATTTTTAACATGTTTTCATTATTATTTGTTGATGAAGGAATATATTAATTCAGTTCTTGAAGGGTAATTTCTTCTAGCTCTTAAAATTAATGTTAATTATTTTTTTATTTTGTTGAATAACAATTACTTTTTTTTTTTGAGATGGTAATATTAGTGGATTAATCTAGAATATTCCCTTACTGACTTTTTAAAAATCTGTATTATATGGTAGAGGGGTTTGACTGTTCAGGTGTAATTAACCTCCAATCATGGTGACAGAGGCCCTACGTCACAAAGTGTTGCTCCGCTTTGATGGGTGGGTACATGATCTCATGATCACGCTATAAATGGATTTCTGAGAATGGTCGAGTATTGATTTGGTCATGACTATTACCTCCCATTATTTAACTCCCGATTTACAACTTCTGCAAACTCCTAACTGCCCTTTTTCAGTTAAAATCGGTGCCTTCAATTAAATGAATTCTTTCTACTTCTGCACACGATGCTCTCCCAAAATGGATATAAACATTCCAATAGATCCTTTGCAGTTGATGTCGGGACCAGGGGGTTCAGTCACTTCAATTTACTTTCAGACACACTTGATCACTAATAGGTATTCAATGGTTTATTAAGAATGGCTAAACTAAAATTTAAGTTAGATTGCTCAAATTATTCAGTTACTACCTATGAATCATTAGAAACAATTTGATCTCAAAACATTATTATTTAAAATGTGATTTAATTATTCTGTTAAAAAGTATTTATCGATTTTTTGGGTGAATGGCAGGACCAATTTTAAAATTTAAATTATTCAGTAATATTCTATGAGTGTTTTGAAACAATTAGAACTCAAAATATGAACAAATTATTGTATAAAACATGATTTAATCAATCTGATAAAAGGTTTGAAATGATTGTTTGAGCGAATGGTTTGACTGATTTTTAAGTTGTGGATGAGATACTAACATTCTCCTCCATCACAGCCATTGTTCTAGAGGTACTACCAAACTTATTCTAATCACAGTGAGAAGGTTTAGATTCCTCCACAAAACTAAATTTCATCCTGTCTTGGCCAGATTCGACCTGGTATCACTATACTCTAGAATATTAAAGTTTATGCTTTAACATGTTCGGCCACGACGACCTATTTTGTTATAATCTATATGCTATAAGGTATGGAAAGAATTTTTGAGCAAACAGCTGAGCCAATTTTTATGTTTTATAGGCTAAATTATTCAGTGATATCCGATGAGTGATTTGAAACAATTTGGGCTCAAAACATTTGCAGGTTATTTTATAAAAGATATTTAATCAGTTCTTTAAAAGGTAAAAATACTAAATTGGTGTAGTACTTGGGTACTTTTCACTACACATTTAGACTACTGGAAAATAGATTTCGTCCCATGTATTAGTTCATATCATCATCTAATCAAGCAGTCTTCAGTTTTGTTGTGGTGTGGAAGGAACCCAACTACTAGACCAAGTTTAAATATTCATAGATGTCAATAACTGGTATCTACAGAGTTGTTTAAGTAGATATGCATATACAAATCTCACAAAATATTCAGCCATTTAAATAGATATGCTAATTCCCCCCTCTCTTCCCTAGTTCAAGAAAAATCCTTTATAGCCGAAAAAGTAAGGAAGGGGTGAAAAAAATATATATATTTAAAGTACATTCCTTTAGGATGGATATGATTTCCTGATTTCTGTAGTTAGTTGTTTTATTTTAACTAAAATATTTTTGCCTAAATTTTATGCAACGTTAATTGTTCATTTGGTCTGCCCATTGGAATCACTTGATCCAATACTTACTCTTAAACAAAAATCTCGATATGAACAAAATTTTATGATTTAAACATTTTTATGTTTCCCTGAAAAATTGGTATTTCATATTTTAGGTTTGTTTGTTTCTTTATTTAGGCTTTAAGTCGTAAAACCCTAAGGTCGTCAACGCCTGTGAGTCGGTTATATTTGTAAACTCTTTAGAGGAGAAATAAAAAAACAAAATGAACAATCACAAATTAATAATAGATAGAGTAATAAATGAAAAAGATATTTAAAAACATATAAAAAATGAAATTTATTAAAAAAAAGAAAGAACAATAAAATAAAAATTATATTTATTTTTATATTTTATTTAATAGTCTATGGATTTTAAGGAATTTTATCACTGTTTTTATGTTTGGTTTGTTGTTGCTTAATACTGCTGATATATCCGGTTTTAGAAATAATCGATTTAGGCTTGAAGTATAATAAGTGCATTCTTGGAAAATATGATTGATTGTGAGAGGGCTATTGCAGTGTTGGCAATTTGGTGGTGGCTGCTTAGTGATGAGATGTACATGAGTTAGGTTAATGTGTCCTATTCTCAACCTGGTCACGGTGACCTCCTTTATACGATTAGGGCGGCTTGATGTGATCCAGGGCTTTGCTGATTTTTCAACACCTTTTAATTTGCTAGGTGGGCTTTCGTTCCACATAGTTTGCCAACTATCCAATATTTCCTGTTTGAGAGGAAAACTCATTTCTGGAGGGTCAGGATAGGAGTACCTCAGTCTGGGATCACGAGTGCCTGTTTGGCTGCCGTATCTGCTTGCTCATTACCCACGTGACAGGGAACCCATATAAAGCAAACTGATTTTCCTAAATTTTCAAGAGTGTGAAGGTATTTGTGTATTTTAAGAATAATTGGATGCTTTGAGTACATATCATTTAAACTCTTTAATGAACTCAAGGAATCGGTTATCAAGACTATTGTAATTGGAGTTATTGACATACAGAAGTGGAGGGCTGAGGCTATTGCGTGAAGTTCTGCGGTTTATACGCTGCTTAGTTTATGTAGTTTTATTTTATGTGTGGAGTTTATGGGTAACAAACGAAAAAGCTGTAGCATCATCAGATTTCGAACCATCAGTGTAAATTAAAAATGGTTCCGGAATATTTTGTATTAGACGGGAAAATGCGGTTTTGTACTCGTGATGTGAGGTATTGCTTTTGAGTAATCGAGAGAGACGGAGCATCATTTTGGGGAGTTTGGGGATCCAAGGTGGGTTTTGGTTTTCTATATTGTATAAAGGTAAGTTCTTAAGGGATTGAGCTGCTGAATAAATTCTTTCTGACAGTGGGAGTGTGGCCTTTGTTTTGTTTCTAAAAGCGTTTGAAAATTTAGGTTTAAAAATATAGTTGTGGGTAGGATGTTTATTTTGGGGAAGTAGCTCTGAAATGTAGTTAACAGCCAGTTCCTTCCTTCTAAATAAAAGAGGGGGTATTCCGGCCTCGGAGCAGAGACTAAGGGTGGGGCTTGTTCGAAACGCGCTAGTTGCTATCCTAATGCCTGTATGGTGGACTGTATCGAATTTGGTTAGGATCCGATAGCGGGCAGAACTGTATATAAAGCACCCATAGTCTAATTTCGAACATACCAGAGCTTGATATCTTATCAGCGTAAGTCTGTCTGAGCCTCAGGAAGTGCGGCTTAGATATGGTTCATATTTTCAGGAATTCCACATTGAGACTGATAATAAGTAATTATTAATCTTTTATTTTTTACATAAATTAAGCCAATATTCACCAACATTTTTAATTTATAAACTATTAATTACGATGTTTCGACCATACTAAGGGCCATTTTCAAGTCTGGAAAATTATAATATCATTATTAGTTAACATTTACAAAAAGAATTTTTTATTACACATAATTAACTTATCTAACGATCTATGTCATATTATTTTCAATACACATAGATTTATCCAAATCTATACAATGAAAGTATACACTTTTTCTTACAAAAAACCTTACATGTACGTAACTTTAAACTTTAAACCTTACATTAAAAACAATTGAATATTACCTTAATGAGTCCTCCGTTATATATTCATTATTAATGTCGCATTATTTTGTTCAGTGACCATTAAATTGTCCTGCTATTTAGCGATTTCGTCTACATCATTTCTTGAGGGAATGACTTATATCGTCCTGGTGGGGTTAGTCAAGGGGAGAGGGGTTTTCCTTCTATTGTTTTGCATTAGTGGATTATTTTATCTAAATTCCTAGAGAATGTGATAACTGATATTTTTTTTTTAGTATTTTATTAAAAGTACTATTTTTTAAATTTAGTTTATAAAGTAAAATTAAAGATGAGAGGCTCACCTACTTCAAAAAGTATGATTATTGATTATAAATCATTGTTTAATCTCTTATTGCTTACACAAAATAGTTTCAAAGAGAAAATGTTAAGATGCTTTTTGTGCATCAATGAGAATTAAAGACATTTCTTTTCTATCTAGTGTAAGGAAGAGTTATTGAGACATGAACAGTTGATTGCCCAAGATTATCAAGTTAGCCGTGGCCTTGTGCGTGCTTGTAAAGAAGATATTAAACTTAACAGATGTAGAAAGTCAGTTTCTGATGATAGAGATGTTAGACTTGCACAGATACTATTATGTCTCGAAAATGCTACAAAAAATGGTAAGAGAAATTTATAATTACAAATTAAGTTTTTCTCTTTATGAACTTTATCTCATAAATTGCATCATTCAGAATACTAAAAGTTAGCATCCTGGTATATCTAACACAAATACAGCTTGTTGGAAATGCAGTTTGGAGTTAAATCTTTATGATTGCAAATTTATAATTGTTTATTATACTCCCACCTTCCTTCCCCCATCATAATGGATATATATTTATGTGGATGTATATTGTTTTCTAACGAAAACTCTTTATTTTACCGTAATAAGTATATTACACTAATTTGTCTAAAATTAAGGACAAATTAAGGGATTTTGATTTTTGTCAGTGTGAGTATTTTAATACTGTATCTATCGATCGCCTACAATTATTTGGCAGTCTGAAGGCGACCAAGGGCGTTTACAATTAATGGATCACCAATTTCATCCAAATTTTTTTTGGTAAAACCAAATCAAAAAATATGTCGACACATTTCCCAGTGTTTGTTCCAATGGGCCATAGGAGCCGAGAAAAACATATTTAATATAATTTCAAACAAATTATAAGTTATTTAGTTTTTCCTTTGATTTTCTCAGATTTTTAGACAGGTATGTTTCAATCGATTTTTTTTTTGTGCCTAATAAGAAACAATATTGACTTTGGTATTAAATCAGTTATAATCAGTATATAAAGTAAAAATGATAGAAAATTTTGTCTTAATTTATAACTTAAAAAGGAATCAAATTAATTACAAAAAGCAAAAAGTGCTTCTTGTTAAGTATGCCAAGTAAATTTTTGTTATGAAAAAGTAAGTTTGATTCATTTTTAGTGTAATTTAAAACTCTTAAATACCAATTTTTATAAGAAATCAAACACTGCAATATTTAGTACTTTGATTTTCTTGGAAAATTTATTTTCTAGCCGATAACTAAAACATAATATTTCCGAATTTTCTGCAAATTCAACAATAGTACAACTGTTAGAATTTTCAACTAATTTTTATAGCAGTCGAAAAATCAGTTTTTTTCTCAGGATTCTTTTCTAGGCTAGACCAGACCCTCTGAAACTTTGTTGGCAACCAATTGTGACAACTTCACCAATTAACACGAAAATTGTTAGTGATTTAGCTCTCTATATGCTACATGAAATGGTACAAACCTGACCTCCGTAAACAAATTAGAACCTAGTATATAAAGTAAAAATGATGGAAAATTTTGTCTTAATTTATAACTTAAAAAGGAATCAAATCTAAAAGTTGTTGATGTGGGTTGGAAGAGCATTAATTCAGTTTTTCAACGGATGAACTAATGTTAAATTTGGAGAAAATCCTGAGATGTTATGAATGTTCATTTAGTATAATTATATAAATGCATTTCTAAATTTAGTAATTTCTAAATTTAGTTACTCAATTTAGTGAAGTTATTTAGTTAATCAGATATACTTAGTCATGTAGTGTGTATGAAATAGGCATGTATAATCCAAATTGAACATGGTTGAAACTGCAGGACACAACTAATCATTGTAAATTACTACATAATGTAATAAAATCCTAATATTTTAACTTAGCTATTTATCTTTTTGTTATTATACAAATTCATTTTAGGTAGTAATTTAGTTGTACCGAGATGTCGAGATGAGATGCTTGCTCATAGAAAAATGCTACTTCAAGATTATAGACTTTCACCGGAAATAGTTAGCACTTGTGCTAATGATATAGAAACATTTTGTAAGGGAATTGAATTTGACGGAAAAACCATTCATTGTCTCATGGAACATTCCCATGCTCGAAGAAAGAAAAATAGAGTATCTGATGCTTGTCAACGCCAGGTTTGTTATTTTTTATGCCTTATAAGAGAATATTCTTTAAAAATTGTTTGTGTAATTTTATTTTAATTTTTATGAATTGTAAAGTACAGATCTAACTTATTAATTTTATAATAGTAATCAATATCAAACCTTAATAAATACTGACTTAATATTGAGGAATAATAACAACATGCAAATGAAGTTGATAGCATTCATTTGTCAATATTTACTGAAATGAAAGTTTTCAAGATAACATTAATAATATTAGAATGAATTAAGAATTATTCATTTATTTATCAAAATATAATCCTCCACTTTATATTTATCATTTATGAGTCCATCAATGTTTCCTCAATCAATGTTATGGACAGAAACAACTAAGATTTTATATATCAAGACCCAATAAAACTAGTCTCTCATCAACAATTACACTTACACAGATTAGATAGCACATCACTCCAAGATATCCGAACAGCTGCTATATTTTAATTATATCTGTCTTTGTGATTTCTGAATTTGCGAAATGTTGATGAATCAGTTCTTTGTCATTTATAGTTTAGAGACTCTTGAGTCAAGACAAATTCTTAAATTTGTTGATAAAATTGTCTATTATATCTGAAGAATATAATACCAATTTTGCTTAAAATAAATAACAACAACAATTAAAGTAATTATTTGTAATGTTTGCAATGATGTTTATTTGTATTGTTTAATTGGTTGATGTCTTTTTTATGTTCACTTACCTATATGTGTAATATATATATAAGTATTACGATATATATATATATATATATATATATATATATATATAAGTATTACGATCGTGAAAATTTTCGAATATGAGTTTTCAACAGAAATACATGTTTTGAGGTCTCCTGAGTCCAAATTACAAAGTCCCACAAAATGGCATGTGAGTGAGTGCGTGCATGCGTGGGTGTGTGTGTGTGTCAGGTCTAGCTGAAATACAAAATGTATGAAAGTGAAATTGCATATTTAAGGAGAAACTTTTCCGTCAAATTTGGCTAACTGGAAGTGGCACTTAATATAATCAGTTTAATACATTTTTCTCAAAAACAGTTCTAACGATCTCGAATAAACTCAGTATATCAGTGTATTATTAAGCAGTTTTTAATATAATGTAGGTTTTATTTTCATTGATGTTCTCTAACAGGACTTAGATGGCTAATTTTCAATATTAGCTTCCTCTAATGTACCTTTAATTTTTTTATTTGAAATAACCATTCTCATTAATCTTTGATATAAAAAATAAGTAAATATAAAATATGAAAGAATTTGATAATTAACTAAAGGAGAAATAAGAGATCGTAACGGATAATAGTTGTACTGGGGGAACCAAAGGAAAACAAGCACCCCAGAGCTCGGCCAAAAGATTAGAACACACTTCCATACGTAACATTAGTTTAATATAATATGGACTCTTAACAATATTATGCACATATACGTATGCGTTTTCATTAATGCTATCGTTGGTATTTAATTTAATATTATTTAATGGTATTTAATATTTAATTGTATAGAATACAGCGATATAAAAATTCAAATTTCTATATACCCACAATGAAATGTAAATATATTGCATCTCTAATTTTTACTTTTACTTCTCCTTTGTCTGAAAATACTTATTTCTGCTAGAAAGAGGGTGGTAAATGAAAGTCATGTGATGCGCGCACCAGATTTTTCCATTTATATGTTAATTCAACCTATAGTAAACTAGGTCTCCATTGTTTTTAGAATTTAATTCAGGTATTACGTAGTTTTATCTTTTTTTTCTTAGTGTTTTATCTTTTGATTACAATCAGTTATCTGCAAATCTTATTTCAATGCCCTACTCTGTTTTTCAGTTGGAATTACTGGTAAAGGAAACCGATGCTGGAGAAGATTGGAGAGTTGATCCTGTTCTTTGGAATGCTTGTCAAAGTGTCGTTAGTGTTGGATGTAGTAAATATACACCCGGTGATGCAAGGTAATTTGTAGTCATGAATATCATAATTAAATAGTCCTAAGAGTCATAGTCATAGCTAAACCACTCTATTACATATTTATGAGAATTGAAAAAAAAAAAATTAGATTTCCTTGACTGGTGAAGTATTATCTTTTAAATAAAATAATTGCTAAATTCTTATCTGTTTGCAATGATTTTTTTGTTGCTTTTTGTAGAAAAAACTGCTGAACTGATTTCTGTGAAACTTTTTTTCCATTCTCATATTGAGCTACAAGGTTCTAAGCAATGAAATGAATGAAAATGAAATGAAATGAATGAAAAAATAATTTTATTCTGGGACTACTGTCCCCTAAGGATAATAACTGAGTTACAAATTTATGTATCTTAGTCTGACATAGTAAAAATACCAACTAATTTATTGTTAATTGTTATTTCAATTGTGAAATGGATTGAAATTAAACATTGTATAGATGCAAGTAATTTTACATGTTAGGAGAAGTTTGAATGTGGAGTAGGTGTTGGAACAGGAGTTGTTTGAAGGAATTTGTGGATGAGGATTGACACATGGAGGTAGGAAGTGAGTTCCATAAGGAAGCAGCACAAATGACGAAGGATTTGCTGAAGGAGGAAGTTTTATGGGAGGGAATATATAAGTCTATAGGTTGAGAACTAGTATTGAGAGAGTGGATAGAGGAGTGCAGAGTAAGGAGTTCCAGGATGTAGGGAGGGTTTTTGGTTCTGAAGACTTGGAAAAGGAAAACGCCAAGAAGGAATTGTCGTCGGGAAGTAGGAAAAAGCCACTTCAACTCGGTGTACCATAGTGAAACATGTGAACGCCTGGGGATCCCGAAAATGTATCTTATGAAACAATTCATGAGTCTTTTTAGTCTCATTTCCAGCCTGGCAGATAGCCCTCCATACACCAAGCAGCCGTAGTCGAAGTGGGGGAATACAAGGGAGGTTACAAGGAGCTGTCTGGTTTTTAGAGGAATACAATCACGGAATCTTAGGAGTTGTTTAAGGGCAGTTATGGATTTTCGGGTAATCTGGGAGATATGATTATGCCAGGAGAGGTTCTGGTCAAAGGTTACTCCTAGGTTTTTGACTGTAGGGAAAAAATGGATGGGATGGTTATTGAGGTAAATTAGAGGAAAGTAAGGAAGGGAGCTGATGAGATGTCTGGACCCGATGATAATAGCCTTGGTTTTATCTGCATTCAGCTTTAATTCATTTATTTCTGCCCATCTGTTGATGCAGTCGATGTCCTCTTGTAGCCTCCAGGCAGCCTCAGGCATCTCAGGAGGTTGGAATGATTGGTATATTTGGAAATCATCGGCATATAGGTGGTAATTGGAGTGTTAGGAAGGAGTGTTGGCGTTAGGAAGGTCACTAATATAGATGGAGAAAAGGGTCGGGGAGAGTGAGGAACCCTGCGGAACACCTCGTGTTAATTGCAGTGATGATGATGGAGGTTTATTCGGTATTGTAACTGTCTGAGATCGATTGGATAAGAAGGATAGGAACCATTTTAGGACGCTATTTGACATGGGCAGGCTTTGGAGTTTGGAAAGAAGGATCTCATGATTAACGGAATCAAACGCCTTGGAAAAGTCAAAGAGAATTAGGATGGAGATTTTCTGTTTATCTATGGTGGATTGGAGGTCTTGGGTAATCCTTAGCAAGGCAGACTGGGTGGAATACTGGGAACGGAAACCCGATTGTAAGGGATTGAGGAGATGGTTTTGCTCGAGAAAGCTGTTCAACTGAGAGTGAACTAATCTTTCTAGAGGCTTGGATAGATTGGATAGAATGGAGATGGGTCTGAAGCAATCTACCATATACTATCTTAAAGCAAAATAATGGAATATCAGAAACAGATATTTTGTTTGCTTTTCAGGAAAATGGCTAAACTAATTTATACGAAACTTCTTATTGTTTATATTTAGAGATTTTTAGAGCCCTAAAGATTTTTAGTTACATTAAACTGTTATTAGCTAACTTGAGACAAAATGGTGGAAGACCAAAATTTAATTTTATCTGTTGGGACAGAGGAGTGCGGTTCCAGTATAGTAAAATGCCTCAACCTATTTAGATGGAACTTATAAGTGAAGTTACAAGTTAAAACCTTAAGCCTAGAGAGAAAATTGAAGTCACTTTTATTTTGAAGCTGACATGTGAATGTTATTATTATTAAACCTGCTATTAAAATTTCAGTAATGTAATGTAATTCAGTCATGTAATTCATGAGCTTCTGTAATTATAAAATACCTGGATCTGCTGTTCCACTATTCCCACACCAACCAACTGGTGCCATTTTGGCTCACACCAGGCTTACAAGTGTGCAAATTTTGCGTTTTCTGGTAACCAGATGATTATGAGTTCAAATGCCGGTGCCGAACAGACTTTTGACTCTGGAATAATTCCCTTGCTCTCCATCTTGGCCCAGAAAAACCTTATAATGTCTAAAAGATGAGGAAGAGAGAAAAAGGATGTTGCAATCTTCAGTAGCTAGTTGTTGAAATTTTCCTATTGAATTGAGCTACAAATTGAAATGTTGAAATTTGAAAAACCATTTCTATTTATTCTATGCTTTGCCAAGGCCTTCAAGAAATTCCTAGGCTGTACACTGTCCTGTCGTGTGCTTAATCTGTCAGTTTGGAGGGATAAACGATTTTTTGAGTAAACAGCTATACCTATTGTTCAAATTTTATGGCTAATATTAATCAGTGAGATCCCATGAGAGTGTTTTGAAACAATCTGAAGTCAAAATACTGAAAAGATATTTGATTATATTTTAAGTATTCTCGAATTTTTATTGATTTCTTTTCATGTGATATTCCATCTTTTGTATCTATAATTGGCAACATATAGAAAACTCCTTGCACTTGTGCTTTTAAACATACAGAAATTAAATTATGTTTTTGTAAAATGATCTTTGAGTTTGGTTTGGGTATGGAAGGCAGCCGACTACTAAACCAAGTAGACATCAACTTCACTAACAACCCAACAATGTTTTTAAGTAGTTATGTAAATGTATTTTTTTTTATTAATAATTCTTTTTTAATGCAATTATAAATTTGTATTCATTTCTCTTTTTACTTAATCATACATTATTTGAAACCTGAAAGTTATTGAAATAATACTTAGTACAATAGTATCTTTATCTATTTAATTTTTGCAGGGTGATGTCTTGCTTAATGGAAAAACTCAATACAGAAATAATGACACAAGAATGTGAAGTACCTCTGAGACAATTGCAGCATTTCGTAGTTCGAGATTATAAATTAGATCCGCCATTGTATAGAGCTTGCCGAGACGCAGCTGTCAAATACTGTTCTGCTAAATCAGTTTGGGCTTCCTCTCCACTCTCGACAGATCCAGAGCGTGGGCCTTTAATTCTTCCTTGTCTTTATAACAAAGCTATCTCTCCAGAATATAAGGTAAAATAGATCATACAATTATAGAAAAATGACTATGATTGATCATATCATTTCACTAAAAAAGATACATTGTTTAATGAATACTTTTTTCTATTTTTTAAAAAGCTGATTGTATTATCATAATGTCAAATCATACTATCAGCATTGCAAATATTTTATAAACTTAGGATGTATATTACATTTAAAGTATTATCCTCTTTAATTGAACACTTTATTAAATTTAATAATCCTGTTTGAAAAAAATAATTTTTTTTATGTTTCTTGATACAGTAAAACTTCTTAGTAGCAAACACTTACATAGAAACAAATTTTAAATATATGAATGATTAAATATATTTAAATTATGAATAATATTAAATATTTATTTTTATAAGATGTGGTGTGGTATATTTTTTAATAATAAAAATGCCCATATAAAGCATAAACTTTTATTTAAACAAGATTAAAATTACTTTAAATAATAATCTGTAATTTTTGTTTCAAGTTTTAGTTACCTAACTATTTTGTTTTTCAAATTGGGTTGTTTAAATCAAATCAGTACAACACCTTTACTGTTTTCCTTTGAAATGAAAACATTTTTTTAATTTTTAAGCTCTAATTAGTGAAAGAGCTTTCTTGGGATTCGATTTCTTGCAGGTCATCTGTTTCTGAATTTTTATGTGTAATCTGTTGTAACTTACATAACTTATATGTATGTAGTGAACTATTTTGTAATCTCTTAATAATTTTCTCTTAATAATTTGTAGACAAAGTTAGCTCACTTGGAAGACTCAGGAACAACAAAAATGTATTGTCATCTTACAGGTGTAGCCTGAGTATAATTTTAAACGGTAGAAACAATACAGGATGTCTAAGGCGCAAGCTCAGCAAAATTGTTCATATGTTGCTTAATCTACAGTAAAATATGAAGTTTTAGGAAATAATTTTTTTGCATAAATATTTCCTTGTTGGGCCCACTGTTCACACAATTGTTTTTTCCTTTAAATATTTCATGCCTTATTTTTTCTAATTTTGAAACAAACAACTAAATTGCGAATACTAAGTTTTTCACATATACTCATTAATAACATCAATTTTCTTTGAAAGTAAATAGGAAGCGATGATTGATATACTCGTAATAAAATCTGTAGAAGTATCAACAAAAGGTTCAAACTGTAATATCTATTTTAAAACTAAATTACCAGAGTAGATAATTGAAGTAAGCTATTATAAATTGGGTTAATGCTCTCAGATTATAGGGGCTTCACTGGCTGTCTTTTATGTCCATTATGAAGAATTTTATCAATCAAAATCCTTGTACCTAGCCTGTCCTTGTCTGTTATAGTATATGTATTTGTATATGTATATGAATTAGGTTAGAAAGAGAGAGGAGAGAATATGAGGAGTGGGAAGATGTATAAGGGGAGAGAAGCAAGAGAAAGGGTATAGAATGATAATAAATGAATGAAAGAAATAGTAAAAATAAAAAAATATATATGTATAAAAAATATTGTATACTATGCTCATACATATTAATCCTATATAATTGTATATTAATTTTAAAAATTGTCTGTAGTGATTAATAAGTATGCTGTGTTGTTAGCAACCCAATGTAATTGGGCAGCACCATTTTATTTTATGATAATAAAGTGATTCTCTCTCTCCTCTGTTTTGTCGAAGTCATTCATACTATAAAATTATTGAAATCAGATGGGTATTATAAATTTGTTCTCTATACACAAAAGTCAGCTATTGGGAAGTGTCCGCTACGGGAAGTTTCACTGAATTTGAATTTGCTTTATCAATGTTTTCTAAAGTATTTTTGCTTTTACATGGTTTAGATAAATAAAAATAGGGATAACAATTATAACTTATCTTTAATTTTACTTTTATTTTAGTTAAGTCAAGAATGTATAAAGGAGTTAAAGCGTGTTATGAGACAGCGGGCCATCAGTGTTGACCTACATCCTAACATTGAAATGTTTTGTATCGAAGATTTATCAAAGTTTTGCACTACTAAGACGGGGAAAGGAGAAGAAATTCTCTGTCTTCAAGACCATTTAGAAGAGTACGTAATTTTTATCTTTGTGATTTTGTTCTATCTTTAGATAAAGGTAAATTTTTTTTTTTTAATATTATAACACAGACAGCTTGACTATTGCTTTGGGATTGATTATTATGGTTGAATATCTGAGATAAATTTTTTTTTATCTCTTATAAAAACTTATTTATATCAACAAAGTTTTGTTTTTAATATTTATTAACTTTAATTATTTATTTATTTTTATTACTATTTTATTTTTTATTTTTTTGCAGGTTGGCTCCAGATTGCAAAGCTCAAGTTTTTAACTTTACGGAAGTTCAAGCAGTGAACATCGAACTCAATCCGATCATTGCTGCAAATTGTAAAGTTGTTATAGAAGATCTCTGTGGGGTATGTATACTTATAATTATTAGTAAAAAAAGGCCTTTTCAGTTTCGATAAATTATTTATTTATTTCATTACTTATAATTACTTTTACTATTTATTAGAACTTGATACATATGTATGTATATTTTTTTCTCAATTGATTTTAGGATATAGTTGCAAAAAAAGAGCAAGATATAATGGATTGTTTAATAGATCATAAAAATGACCAACTCATGAGGCTACATAGCAAATGCCGTGCTACTGTTGAACACTATCAATTAATTAATCTTAAAGATTATCATTTTACATTGAAATTTAAGGTAAGGTATAACTTATTTTTCCAACATTGTTCACTTTGCATGCAAGTGCCAAGGTTGATGATCATTATTATATTGTTGTATTTTTATTCATGTTATGTTCCAAGATTTAATTAAGTTTTAAATATTTATAGAGAATAATTAAATAAACTAGCTTGAATTAGTTAAAGAACAATTTGTTATTGATCTCATATTTTTTTCTACTTGTAGCACATGAAAGGATAATAAACTAGTGGTAGGCACAATTTGTTTTGTTCTTATTAAATCTTGTTCTGAAACATATTTGCATGCATTAAGATGAAACGATATCTCCTGTTAAATAGGGAAGCTTTATATTAGGGAGGTAACAACACAAAAAAAAAGTTTAACTTTTTTTTTATGACAAATAAAAATCAATGGAGTGACCGACTTCCTAACGAATTCCTTATGAAACTAGTAGTGAGCCCTCTTTGAAACAATAAGTTGAAATATTCGTCAACAATTGAAAAAGACATTTCAAAATGTGGTGATTATTTCAAATCAAATGCGAAAAAAAAAGTGTACTCTTCAGTGCTTTCAGATTTAAAAGTCAATAAATGCTTGGGTATATAATTCTATTATTTCTTCATTTAGAGACATTTTTTAACAATATAGTTCAGTATTGATTTCAAAGGAATCATAAAATCCTTGGATACACAGATGATATAGCTGTTCTTGGAAGTAATCAAGAGGACATTGAGAAACTCACTAAGACTCTGATATGAGAGGTAGAGCAGATCGGTCTACAAGGGAGTGAAGATTAAACAAAATATATGATAATAAGCCTGAAAATTCCATCCCAATAACAGGATCTGCATAGAAGGAAAATCATTCCCGAGAGAAAAATACAAATATCTCGGCTGCAAAATAACCTCAATGAATGACCAACGGGCATAAATAGACCAGTGTATAACAAGCGCAAACAGAGCTTTCTTCTTCCTTTCAAAGGTATTGAAATCCTGAAAAATATCAAGAAATTTCAAATTAAGGGTATAAAATGTTATGATAAAGCCAGTTTTAATATATGGCTGTGAGACCTGGACACTAACCAGCACTCAAGAAAAAAGTTTTGAAAGATTTGAGAGAAAAATCCTCTGTACGATAACCTGAGCGATCTGGGATCAGAGTAATAACACATGGAGAAGAAAGACCAATAAAGAACTGCTTACAAAAACTGATCAATCAATATCCTATAATATGAAATATGAAAGCACAAAGATTAAAATTGGCAGAGCATTTAGCTCGTAGCAATCCATCTGGAAACCTCTACATAACAATGGACGCCTCTATAGAAGGCAAAAGACCAGGTGGAAGGCCAAACAGCAGATGGATAGATAGAATCAACAAAGTTGCAATAGAGCTGCATGCAGATAAATGGAAAGAAATAGTCCAAGACAGGCAAATACTTCACTTATAAATGAGACAACACATAATGATTTCTTTTTTTTTATTCTCCCCTTCCTTGCCTTCAAGGCTATACGGGAACTTTCCTGGGTCAGGGTGAGGGTATGGGAGTAATACCAGAGTTAGAAAGCTTTCCTGGCATCTGGACACCAACTCATATTTATTTCATCATATTAACTTTGTTAACCAGGATTGACAGACAACATCTGTTAGCCCACCCAGCCACCCCACCCTCACATAATGTACTAACTTCAGTGAAACCATAAAAAATAGTATAAATACGTATAGAGGGTGGTTAACTTTGAATGTACCCTATAATTGACACAGTGTAAACCTAATTCTTTTCATATTCAGTTGCAGATCCGATTTATTCCATTATTATTTAACTTGATGAATTATAGCTATATTTTACAAGTCTCGTGATTTGTGTCAAAAAGTTATTTATTTTTATATTAATGATTCATGTTAAATTATGATGTATAATTTATAAAAACTCTCAGATCATCAGATGTTATTTTTATAAGTATTTATTTTATCTTGTTTTTGATTTAGATTATTAGTGTTTTTTGATAAAAATTAAAATCTTTCATACTAAACTCGATTAATACTTTCAGAGGGCTTGTAAAGATCATGTTAGCCGTTTTTGCCCTGGGGCGAGAGATAAAGCTGAGGTTGTGAGGTGCTTGTCTGAAGTTATAAGAAATGAAACTCTTCAAGATAGTAAACCACGTATATCAAAAGAATGTCATCAACAATTGAAGACACAACTCCTTCAACAAAGAGAAAGCATTGACCTCAACCCTTCGCTTAAGAAAGAGTGTGCAGTTGACATTGGCAAATTTTGTTCACAAATTCAACCTGGTAATGCAAAGGTATGTTTTACATTTCTTAAATTTGCAATTACAATTAATGTCAAGTTAAATTTATTATTACGCTTCACTTGGAAGTTGTATCGAATATGTTACCATGTTTTAGATAATTTTCCCTTATCCTTAATATTCTTACTTGCTTTTACAGCCATTAATTTGTTTACTAATTGAAACTATTTGATTAACTTTTATTTAGCATTTATTAATTGAAAGTTCAATATATCTGGAATGAATGATAAATACATTTTGAAGTATGACTAGTGAACATTTAGGATGGGATAAGGGCTTGATTGTTTTATTAAAACAAAACCTTCAACTAGTATGAGTTGCCTTTTGTGGAGCAAGAGCTCTAAATACCAATGGATTTCGATTGATCAATTTGGATCTTTCAATTTATTCTCTGAAGCTTTATCGATGTTTATTTATCATTAGTTCTGCTGTTTTATTTTTGCCATAAGTGGAACCTTCAGGAGCTGTTCTTTAATACTTTTTGATTTACATTTCTCCTTGACAGTTTTTTATGTTTTGAGTGCAGCTCTTACAGAATTAGAACAGATAAAGGATTCATATTTGCTAGAAATGTCAAAACCAGAGCAACCTGTAGACCTTAAATATAGTGACTATTTAGCTAAACTCTCTAATCAAGATTCTTTCCTTGTCTATTCACTGTGCCTGTCACGTTGATTGTAATTTTTTTTATCAATAATTAAACAAAACCATTATTATTATTACTATTATTATCAAAACTTGGATTTTTTTTTTTTTTTTAATCAAAAGTATTACGATATACTTTTAGTTTTGATTATTTAAAGTAATCACAATAATATTTATGCTTATGGATCTGATTTACTCCTAGAAGATGTTAATTCAAAGATTCATTCTAAAAGTAAAATTCATTAAAATAAACAATTATTTAAAATAATTTATTGTTACATGAAAATTATTTTCTAAAAAATTAATTAATAAATAAGATCCTTTTTTTATCCCAATAAAACCTTTTATCAACAACCTTTATTACATTTTTATTTATCTGTAACATTTCGGCCTTATTTTGGTCATTTTCAAACATATCATTTTTATACCGTTTACTACCTAAATCTAAAATTTTATTTTGGTCATGTATTTAAAAAAAAAAAAAAAAATTATTGTACATTTATACAAAGATCTTCTGTTTATGAGTCATTGTTTGGTGGTATTTTTATTCTAATTAATTAAATACATTAAATGTATTAAATACATTTAAATACAATACTTAAATCAAATACATATTCATGTTTAACTGAACACACATACGCACATATATCTAATTGGTCTTAGAAATTAAGAAATAAAATAATTTTATTTTAAAAGAATAAAGATATCACCAAACAATGGCTGACTCAAAAAATAAGATTTTTATCTAAATGACAGACTTTAATTGGTCTTAAATATTAAGTAATAAAATAATTTTATTTTAAAAGAATAAAGATATCACCAAACAATGGCTGATTTGAAAAATAAGATTTTTATCTAAATGACAAACTGACTTATTTTTTAAAATATGACATCAAAAATAAAATTGTTGATAATAAAAAGCTTTATTGCTTTATATCTTTTTTGGGATAACAAATGTTTATATTTATTAAATAACATTTTTTAAAAACATGTTTATTTTATAATTTTTATATAATATAAAAATATAATTTTTATATAATATAAAAAAATGAATGACCCGATAAAAGGTGGAAATCACAAATCATAAAAATTATGTGCTAGATAATGGCCTTCGGATGTGATGCCAGATGTGTAAATCATACACTAACTTTACTCATTAATCGGCATCTAGTGATATAATATCACAACTGGCACAAAAATAAAGTCAGCCTAATTGAACTCTTTAGACGTCCTATTTCTTTCCTCCGAGTAGCATTCAGCCTGTGGAACATGCCTCTCATTTTCTTGTTGTTCAAAGTGACTGAAATAGTTGAAACTTATCGAAATCTTGTTTGTGTCAATTATAATAGATTTATTATTATTATTTATTTTTTACTGTATTATATATATATATATATATATATATATATATATTTATTAAATTAATGAAATTTATTTTATTTTTTTCAGGTTATTGAGTGTTTAATTCTGCATAAATATAACTTAACTGGTGTATGCCGTGCTAGGATTTTTGCTGTTGAGAAACAAGATCTTACAGACAGCTCGACTGATTATACTCTTTTAAATGCTTGTAAAGCCATGCTACAAAAGTATTGCAATAAAACTGAACTGTCTCCACTTTTATGTCTTAAGGTATGGAAGTCTATCTGTATCTGTATATCATCATTTATAAAGTAAAATTTTTGCATTTGCTGTGCCTAATTGAATTAATTATATTCTGTCAGAAATGCAGACAATTGGTATTATAAGATAAATGCCAATGCATGTTAGTGACTCGAGCATGGTATAGGTATTGTGTGAAGATCGTTAGTTTCGGGATGCTGACTAGATGATAATCATTATTGTTATAAATGATCTGATGTTAATTAAAAGAAGCTCAAATATGTTTATGTTTGTTAAAAGTAGAAGCATTGTATAGATTATTCTTCAAAAGATCTGTATGTAAATCTATCTATCTACAGTTACATAGATCCATTTTCTGGCTCTAAAAAGATATGAGAAGGCGACGCCTCCTACCGAATTGATATGTCTCTGGGAATAAAATATTGGATTAATAAAATATCATAGTTAGCTTAGTCTTATAGCTTACTGTTAAACTGTAGGAAATATTTTCCAGTGGGGAGAGCTAATTTCTTGTAAATAATAATGATTGAAGTGTTATTTCAATGTAGTCATTATAAAGTATATAGCTTCATAAGAGTAAACTAGCTCATAAAAATTTATGGTTAACTGAGTTTTATTGCTAACTAGTATCTGAAGATATATTTTAACATGGAGCAAGTAATGAACCTGAGTAAATAAAAGATATGTATCGGGTACCACGGGATATGGCTTTTCCTCATGCTTATCAAACCTTGTTTTATATTTTTTTTCTCAAGATTATATCAGCCCATCTGATGATTGTTGATATTTATAATTGACAGGTGTGGATTAATAAATGGAAGTGGGATACAAATATTGCTATTAATTAAATGAATAAATTAATTATTTTGTTATTACTTTTCTTTTCATCCTCACTCGATAATAAAATTGCACAAGCGATGAGATCCTTTGACTTATTGAATGCCATGTTAGAAATTGATGTATAATAGTAAGAATATCGACACTCATGATACACGAAGAAGAGTCAACCTTCCTCCTGGGCTCGTTTGACCCGTATGAAAGGTCCTTAAACTGCTGCAGTAAACAAATAATTTAAAATACTTAATATGTGAAGAATAGTGAAAATTTAACATTTAGATAAGTTATAATAAATCTAATGATATATTTAAAACAATTTTTTTCTGACTTTTTTTTTTTAGAAATATAAATATAATAGCGAGTTTGATTATAAATGTCGTTCAGTTGTATTGAGAAGAATTGCTGATCAAAATACTGACTCCCAATTAAATCCTGGACTTCAGGCTGATTGTAAAAAAGATATATCTCTGTACTGTTCAAAAACATTTGTTGATGACAGGCTTGATCCCAAGCATGCAGAGGATAGAGTTATCAGCTGTTTAAAGGTAATAATGTTTGTCAATTACTTTTACAGTGAAACTTATTTAATTGGAGGTTGAATGAATCACTGGAAAATTTTGAATTATTTAAGATTTTTTAATTTAATAAACTTTATTTTCTTCTTGACTTATACCCAGAGAAATGTTTAATGATATCAATCAACCATTTTGCGGTCCTTATCTCCCCTCAATAAACTTAAACAGTTTTTTAACAATATTTTAGGTAATATGTTTTGATATAAATACCATCATCCCTTAGCATTAATTTATTTTTCTTACTGGATTAAAATTAAAACAATTAAAAAGAAGAAAAAAATATTTTTACTTAACCTAAAAATGAAGTTTCTCTTGAATGAAATTTGAAGCAGCCTAAATTCTGCCACATCATACTGAAAACCATTTGATTTGATGATTCTGAGAGTTTTAATACTATTTTCGATATAGTTTATATATTTTACATGAACTAAAATTTATTAATTTTATAGTATTTTATTTTTTCATACATTATGAAAAGTTTCATAGATTGTTTTAAAGTTTGTTTTTCTTCATTACATCTCATTGCATATTTAGAGTTTTGGATTGCATGCCTCGTTATATGTAACAGTTTTACAGGTTATAGGTACAGTTTTTACTGTACACATATTAACTTAGTTTATGCATTAGTAATTAATCTATTTGTTTTGTAGATCCAGTTTCGAAATGGAAAGTTGGAAGCAAAATGTAGAAATCAAGTATTGAATATACTTCATGAAGCTGCTCTAAATTACAATCTTAATCCTCTCCTTACTACATTATGTTCATCTGAGGTATTTATCTGTATTTTTTATTTTAAATATATTTTATAACTATAAAGAATAGAAATTGTAAAATTCTTCGAAAAACGACTTCATATTGTACCTGTTGAGCCAACTGAGACTATAATAAGTTAGATTAAGTGAATCACATGACAGTGTGCTGTTATTAAATCTCCTTCATTTGAGCACATAGTTGTCTGCTTTGAAATTCCATGAAGTAGGTATTCAATTATAATGATTGTTTCATATGCTAATAGTTAAGTGTAATACCTTAACTTGATCTAATGATGAAACAATGGGATAACAAATATTAAACATGGTAAAAAATTGATAAATAATAAGAATAATGAGGATGATAATAATTATGACAATTTTTAGTCAACATTTATTGCTGAGGTATCTAAAAATGTTTGTCAATATACTGCACTCTGAATCAAAATTAAAATCTTCAAGATCTGTGCTAACATAACCCTCCCAACTACGTTTTGATTGTCTCTTAGAACCTTTATCTGCCAGTTTAGTGCTGGTTACTCTTTCATTTGTTATCTATCCTCATTTCTTTACTAGTGATGTTGGCAGATAACACCACTTTCCCCCCCTCAATTTATCAATAAAAAAAAAAGTAGATCTTCCATCTCTTAGATAAGTTTAAGGATAAGAGAGGTGGGAGGTTTGAAACACATTGAATGAGTGGAAAGGTGTGTGTGAAGATAATCTTTGAAAGTGTTAAATATTTTATACTTTTGGCTATGTATTGCATAGTCATAAAATGGTTTTCCTCAGATCCTTGGTAGCCTCAGTTCACTCGGGGGCAACCATGCAAAAAATGCTCTTGCATCATCATCATCATCATATGTGGCACGACATCCCGTTACCGAGACTGGGCCTCCTCCAAGAGCCTCCGCCAATTGGCTCTGTCTTCTGCTGCAGCTCTCCAGTTCCGTACACCAAGCAGGGTTCTCGCATCATAGGCCACGTTGTCCAACCATCTCGTTCTCGGCCTTCCTACCCGTCTTACGAGGTGCAGCTCCTCCATCATTATTTTCTTTGGTATTTCAACGGTGCTCATTCTGGCCACATGCCCTGCCCACCTTAGTCTGGCCAGTTTAATATACGTGACTACGTTGATGTCTGCATAGAGAGAACTGAGCTCCCTATTTTTTCTTTTCCTCCAGACATCACCCTCCTTTACTGGACCATAAATCCTTCTGAGGACTCCTCGCTCAAACACACTCAGCTTCATCTCATCGTTTTTAGTCATCGTCCAAGCATCTGAGCCATATGTCAAAACAGGCCGAACAAGGGTCTTGTATATGATCAGCTTGGTCTTCTTTGAGAGGTACCTACTTCTTAAGTGTCGGCCAAGTCCAAAGACACATCTATTGGCAGCCGTGATCCTTCTTTGTATTTCTTGAGCCATGTCATTTTTGCTATTAATTTCAGACCCAAGGTATATAAAACTTTTCACTCTCTCAAACTTAAAAGAACCTACCTCAAATGGAGAGTTCAGATCCACCTCACCACCAACTCTCATATACTTAGTTTTTCTCTCGTTGACTTCTGGACCAAGTGGTCTTGCAGCTGCTTCAAGGCCTATAAACGCTTCTCTGAGAGCCCGTTCAGACCTACCTATTATGTCAATATCATCAGCAAAACCAAGAAGCTGTGTCAGGCGATTGAAGATTATATCGTTGGTCTGAATACCGGAGTCTCTTACAGCTTTCTCCTCTGCCAAGTTGAACAATAGACAGGCGAGGGCATCCCCTTCCCTAACCCCACTGCTCACTTTAAACTCTTCGGAGTCGTCAGAACCGACGCGTATTCTACATCTCGAGCTGTCCATGGTTATCATGATTAGGCGTACGAGCTTCTGAGGGATGCTTAGCTCCTCCAAGGCACAGTATAGTTGCGTTCTATCAACGCTGTCGTATGCTGCTTTAAAGTCCAGGAATAAATGGTGGGTGACTACCTTACGCTCCATAGTCTTTTTCTAGAATCATCCTCAGAGAGAACAGTGGTTGAGCGTCCTCTTCGAAATCCAGCCTGATATTTCCCCAGTTCCTTTTCAGAATACGGGAGGATCCTCTCAAAAAGAATGTTAGAGAGCAGCTTATAAGCACACGAAAGGAGTGAGATTCCTCGATAGTTAGCGCATTCTGTTTGATCTCCTTTCTTATGTATTGGGCAGATAATGGCTGTTGCCCATTCCGTAGGCATAGCTTCCCTCTCCCAGATGGTCAGCATTAAATCATGCAGAGCTTTCTTGAGTTCTTCACCTCCACATTTCAACAGCTCTGACTGGATTCCGTCCGGGCCTGGCGCCTTTCCATTTTTCAATTTCCTCATGGTGTTTTCCATTTCCTCCTCATCCGGGGGTTCAATAGAATTCAGGGAGTCTTCCTTCATTACTCCTACTTCTCCAGGCACCGTTCCTCTGTTTAATGCGTCTTTGAAATGTTGTACCCATCTCCTTAGTACGTCATCTTTGTGGCTTAAAAGAGTTCCATTCGTGTCTTTGCATGCCGTCACTCTGGGCCTGAAAGCTGCCCTACCCTCGTTTATTCTCTGAAAGAACAGCCGACTTTCATTTTGGCCGCGCAATGCCTCTGTGTCCTCCATGTTCTTATTTTCCCAAGCTCTTCTCTTTCCGTGGAATAATCTCTTCTCTTCGCGTCTTTTTCTTCGATATGTTTCTTGGGAGAGCCTTGTGGGACGCTGAACCTTCTTTCTGTAGGCTTCATTTTTCACTTTTACTGCTTGAAGGCACTCAGCATCAAACCATGGGGGCCTTCTAGATTTAGTCTCATAGCCAAGAGCTTCTTCTGCTGCCTGTTTCATTGCGTTGCTGCATCTCTTCCACTGTTCATCGACCATAGAGCTGTCATTAATTACTTCTTCATTAAGTTTCGTCTCCACAGCTTGTTGATACGAATATTGGTGGTCTGAGTCCTTAAGTTTAGCCACATCAATCTTCTTCTTTGGTCGTTGGTAGTGGTTTTTAATCAGCGAAATTCGTGATTGACCTCGGCAATGCTCAAATAGTGATCCGTGTCCATATTTGCACCTCTATAAGATCTTGCATTTATCATGTTGGACTTGTGACGGGCACTAATGAGTACATGATCTATCTGTGATGCTGTTTGCCCATTTGGAGAGATCCATGTTGCTTTGTGGATATTCTTTCGAGGAAAAAGAGTTGTTCCAACAACCAGTCCGTGCAATGTAGCAAAGTTCACCATCCGTAGCCCATTATCATTACTGGTCTCATGCAAGCTGTGGGTTCCTATGGTCGGCATGAGTGCCACCTCATTACCAACATGGGCGTTGAAGTCACCAAGAATGATTTTAACATCATTTTTGGGGCAGCTTTCTGTCACGCGTCCAAGTTCTTCATAAAATGCTTCCTTATCCTCCTCAGGTGACACTTCTGTTGGGGCATGGCAGTTGATTAGAGAGAAATTAAAAAATTTTCCTCTAAGCCGAATGTAGCATAACCTTTGGTTAATGGGAGTAAATCGCATCACTAGCTGTCGAGCTCTGCCTCTCACAACAAATCCGGTACCGAAGATGTGATGCTTTTCATGGCAGCTATAGTAGAGTGTATGGTACTTCTTCTCCATAATTCTCTGTCCTATCCATCGGACCTCTTGGATAGCTGCTATGTCGATTCTGTATGTGTCCACTTCTGCAAGTAGCGCACGAAGTGCTCCTAGTCTATGTAATGATAAAATGTTCCTAAATCCAATTCTTAGGTCATTTAGGCGTTTCCTGGGTCTGTTACTGTAATTCTGTCCGGCTTTTTCTCTTTGAGGTTTCGTAATAAGGTACTTTAGGGGGGGTGGGTGATCAGCCCACTGCCCCCGAGTCAGGTAGAGGGGCTGCCTCCTCCGAGCATCCTGACTAGCTCCCCTATCCGGGGCGGCTACCTAGGGAAGGTGACCCTAGGGTGTGTACTGTAGGTGACCTTTGTCTGTAGTGTTTAGGTGTTGTAGTGTGCTGTATAAAGTGTACTTGGTGTGTGAGTGTTCGTGTAAGTGTTCCCCAACCTGGAGGGCCAGTGGCTGGTTGCGGTACAATGACCGGGCGATGGGACCGCCACCTCCCTACGCCTGACTTGCATCATCTACTTTAATAAAATAAATCATTGTCTTACAAGAAATTGCCAATAACATAATAATCACTGTTTTAACTTTCACTTACGTCTATATGTGAAAATTTTTGAATCTGAGTTTTCAACGGAAATGCATGTTTTTGAGTACCCTGAGTCCAAATAACCAAGTCCTGAAAAATGGTCTGTGTGTATGTGAACACTCGCTCGAAAACGAAAAGTCGTACTAAATTGATATTTAAGATAGATATATGTCTTAGATGTTCTAGCACCTTTTCACTTAAAATCGGCTAACCGGAAGTGCCACTTTATATCAACACTGAAACACATTTTTACAATTTTCTCAAAAACGACTCTAACAATTTTTATTAAACTCAGTGTAACATTGTCTAATTAAGTGGTCTTTAATATCAGTATATCATTGTGTAATTAAGTGGTCTTTAATATCATTTAGGTCTTATCCCCGTTGATGACACGTACCTTTAATATGGTTTATTTTAAATAATTAACTATCTCTCATTATTAAGAGTTACGAAAAAATGCTAAGTATAGCTTTTGAAAAAAATTGAAAATTGAATAAAGGAGAAATAAATAAAAATGTTTATTCAGGTCGAAAATGAATTTTCAGAAATACTAGTCAGAAGATACAAGTATAATATAATATCGTTGGAAAACGGAGAATTTTAGAAAAAGCAATATCTAATATAGTTGTTGAAGGTAACGGAGAGTAGCAAATAAATTATAAATAATAATTTTTGAAAACTAATGATATTTAACGTAAATCACATGTTTTCAAGGAAATTAAATGAAATTTATTAACTAAATGTAAACTTTTAAAATATTTTCAAGTTTGAAAAAAGTATTTAAAATCTACGTAATCAAGGCAATGACATTGTTTAAAAAACTATTTCATTGCATTTATGTGAAAGAAGGAGTAAAAAATAAAATCATTTCATGGACATACAAAGCATATGTTTATAACCTTAAATACATTTACTGTAGTTTAATAATTCTAGATCTGATATTATATTTAAATAATCAGGTATCAACATCCATTTATTTCAAAATATTGTCATGTAACTTTTTAGAAAATTAAATTAGTGTATAATTTTATGAATCTTCCCTTTGTGATATTCAAACAGTATCCACTACTATTTCATTGTACTTGTGTGAAAGAAGTGAAATATAAAAATATTTCATAGATATGTTTATAACCTTAAATATATTTACTCTAGTTTAATAACTCGAGATCTGATATTATATTTAAATATTTAGGTATCTATCGTCCGTTTATTCTGCAAAATTATCATGCAACCTTTTAGAAAATTAAATTAATGAATAGTTAGATGAAATTTCCTTTTGTGATATTTCAACAGTATCCACTTACAATTAGTGTGACAACTTTTGACCTGTCTATGACAGACAATGCAAATCTCTTAATTCCATTTTAATAAACTTTGCAATGGAAAATAACAGTTAAATAAGTAATAGTCGTACAATCCATAATCAACGGAATTTACACCCATAATCAACCGGTGATATAATAAATAGGACTTTTGTTATTTTAATGGTATTTATGATTTGTTAGTTGTAATTTTTTATCTTTGGCCCAGTTAAAAATGCAATTCAAAAATTTTATAATAGCCCAACATGGCCAGAAAATAATTTCTATTCAAAGTTGAGCGGTAAGTGAAAGTTGAGTGTTGCGCGAACCAGATTTTTTTTTTTATTATTATTAATGTTTATATATTTTTTCATTTTCAGTATAATGCATTTTTGTTTATTATTTTTTTTTTTTAGATTAAACAATTATGTGAAACGGATGGTGATAATATTGGCAAAGGGGAAGTTGAAGAATGTTTGAAAGAAGCATTAAAGAATGGTCAGATAAAAAATACTCTTTGCAAGATAGAAATTGTAGAATTATTAGAAGAGTCAAAAGCTGATGTCAAGGCTGATCCTCATTTATACAAAAGTTGCATCAAAGATCTAGCTCAATACTGTTCCTCAGTAGCTGAAGGAAATGGCAGACGTAATTTTATCTTTATTTACATTTGATTATTAAATGCTGATAATTTTCATTTTCCTGGATAGTCATTTTGCAATTGAATTTTTTATTTTAATTTAGCTCTGTTTTCAATTTTATTTTACTGTTCATTTCTTTCTATGAAGATAGCGAAATCTTTTTAATAATAATAACTTAGGAGTATAATTAATGAATCTAAAAATATTTTTAAATATATATATATATATATATATTTCTTAAGCAAGTTATATATATAATTATGAGGCGGGATAGCCGAATAGTCCAGTCAATGAATTATTATAGAAGAAAATGGCGGGGACACAATTTTTGACTGTAGGAAATTGTTTGAACTATTAAAAAGGTAAACATACTATAAGGTACTACTTACTCCTAGGTGGTAAGCCAGATGTGGAGGGGCATCTAAAAGGTTACTTTTTCAGGTTTTCTCTTATATCAGGGTCATTCCATGTTAAATCGTCCAGAACTATATTAAAATAAGAATCACCCGCAGCTCACTTTATTTTATAATAGAGAAAAGCGTCGAGTATCAATTTTTATATCCTCTCACCATATGAAAATAAAATAAAGGCGATAAAAATAAATTACTTAAAGTTTAGTTTTTTTAAAATAAAAAATCCTAGTCAAGTTAAAAAAAATTCTTCCTCTAGAACATTATATTTGTTATTTAAAAGACTAGACTTTTTTTTTCTATTTTTACTCTAAACTTTCAATTTTCACTAAGGCATACTAAATAAATTAGTTATAAACTATATATATATATATATATATATATATATATATATATATATATATATATATATATATACATACATATATATAGTTTATAGTAATAAGCTATATGTGTATAGTTATGAACTATACATTTTTAACATTTGTGGCTCCTGACATATTGGCCGGGGAAAACTATCATTAAATAGGGAAAAGTCAGGGAATTTTGACAGTTTGGTAGCCACCCTGTTATAAAATTATCTCCAACTTTTATCCTGTTGGTTTTTCCCGAATTCTCAATAGTTTTTGAACTACATGCTCTTAAAAAGTTGACATTTTCGAAAAAATTCATTTTACCTCACATTTTTCTTCAAACTTTCCATCTTATCGTCTAAGCTATACATCAGTGACAAAAGAAGTTAAATTCCCTATTAGAATATATATACTTATGCAAATTAATCTCCAACCAATCTACAGTTACCAATCTATTTTAAAATTTTTCATAAAATGTTGTCATTTTCAGAAAAAGTTGTTTCATCATATTCTTGACCCACAAATTTTGTTCGTTTGTCTAATAATATGCGTGGCCACACTTATCCAAATCCAATCATTCAATAAAGTAGATAAAATCTATTGTCGTCCAGCGCATCATTCAGTACTAATAAATGCCATAGTTATAGGGCTAAAATAAAGTTTGTGGTATATTATTTTGATTATATTTAAGAACAAATATTAATGAAATAATTTAACTGTCCAAAACAATTATATATATGTTTTTTTTTTACTTTCTATTTTCTATACTCCAATGTTTTAGGGAGTTGTAGATTGTAGAGAGTTGCTCTATTATTAAAAGATGTATAATTATAATAACAAAACTTAATTCAGTAATAATTATATATTTTGTTTACAATAAAGACAGTAGGTGCTTACAAAAGAACCGCTTTTTCCACCGATTAAATGCATTTTCTAAGGAACCGTTCCAAATATTTTAAATTTGGAGATTTAGATTTAGAAAGATAAATGTATCGTCCAGATGTTTTATTTCAAGGCATTTTTCATTATTCTTGGCCATTTATTTACAAACTACACTTGATTTTCAACATTAGTCTGAAAGAATTGACTTTACCAATATTTTTATTGCCTAAAATATTTATTTTTCATGTTTTATTATTCTCTGACTATTCAGCTTTAATAAAATGCCAATTATAACAAAATTGAACCAAATGCTGAATCTCAGAAACCAAAAAACTAACTCAAGTGAAAGTCGTCAACTGCCACGTTTGGACACCATTTTGGGACACTGAGTTCACTTGTTTTTGTGTGTCTATTGACTTTTTTAAATATTTTTTTTATTTTCATTTTTTAATATTTAATATTTTTAATAAGTTTCAAGAAACACCAGAATATACAATTTATAGGGATGTGGGGGGGAGTATACGGTTGGGGGGCTGGCCTCCATGTACCATTATTGAGGGTAAAGATGCCATGGACAAACAACCCTTGCCAGGACCGACCAGCACATCCAAAGTTGATAAAAATATGAGCCCATTTAAAGTTGTGAGTGTAATATTAAGAAGTTATTGAGAACAGTGATGTTTATAATTGTATGTATTTAATGTAACAAAATAAAATAAAAGTATCATGAGACTTTTCATGATCTGTAAAATACAATATTAAAATTTTCAAGTAACATGATTTTTTCTACTTTATTTAATAATTACATTAAAAGTATGGCCACACACATTATTAAAAAAAACGAACAAAAGTTGTGGTTCATGATGTGATAAAAACAACTTTTTCTGAAAATGACAACATTTTATGAAAAAGGTTAAAATAGCTGTAATTTTAGATTGGTTGGAGATTAATTTGCATCTGTATATATATTATGATTGGGAATTTAAATTTCTACAACTTTTTCCTAGTGTGTAAAAATGGTTTAGAATTCAGATAAGAACTATAGAATAAAAGATTAAGATAATATTATAAACTTTCATTTATTATCAGACAATTTTTCCCTGCTACGCACCGTTTTCAAAATATAAGGGGAAACCTAAAAATTGTGACCTTTCCTCCCCTCTCACCCTTTGGGTAACCTAGACGTCAGGACATCTGATATGTTCACACCCCAAGCATCCGGAACATGTTTCTGAAGGAATTGTTTAGGTCCCTGCTCATGCACTGTACATCCCCTTTTGGGCCATTCATTGACTGGTCTGTATTGGTATTTTTTAAAAATAATTCTTCAGTAACAGGGGTCAATAATTTGTTATAACACTATTGAATGCAAGAGAAAATTGAATAGAAAAACTTACTTTCTTATTTTAGGGCTAGTTAAAAAGATATCTATATTGAAATCTGCAAATTGGTTTCTGAATACTAAATGCCATTTAAATTTTGAGATAGTCCAAACGTTCAAAGCAGTTGTTATTATTTTGTTTTTACTATATTATTTTTACCATTATACTTTCCCCTTTCTGACTCTCTAACTTGGCTTTACCTCATAATACAATTTTGAATTATAGCTTATTACAAAGAGGATGAAATACTGAACATTTCCCTTGCTTCCAGTATGCAGGTCCGATTTTTTGTTTCTCAGATATTTAATCCAGATGCAAAATTTAGTTGACCTGAGCTAACTTTATTCAAATGACCGTTACATAGCCAAGCGTGACAGCTCAGTCTCATTCAAAGCTCAAAAATTAAAGTGCTAAGCACCATGAAGAAGTTTTCACTTAAATAAATCACCATCAAAGTCAACCTATTCATGGTAAACATGGCTATGGTCTTGACACAGCCAAATCCTTATTTTTTTATTGGAAGATTTCAAATAACCCCTTAAGTCTCTCAAATAGTAGTTAATTACCAACCAATTATAATTTTGATAGTTAAAAATTTATCAGGACCAAGAAGTACCTATATAGACCATAATTAACACTTCTCACAGGTTTGAAAAATGGATATAAATGGGTGTATAAAAAAACAAAATTGGTTTTGTCAAATTCAAGATTTCAAAGGACTGTAAATATTTTAATCCTATTTAACACTTACCAATACTTAATATTCCCTTTAGGTATTCTCTAAACTTGTTTAATCCCACTCGACTTCTTCAAAAAAAGCCTCACTTTAGTTATTTGTTTCAAAGAAGAAACATGAATGACAGTGTCCTACGAAATTCTCATAATTTTATGGAAAAAAAATTTCATAGCTTCTGAAGAAGCTCATGAAATTATCATCGAATATGGAGGGGAAGGTGTACTTGACCAGCGTACTGCATGGCATTAGTTTGAAAAATTTAGGAGTAGAGATACAACGTTGGAAAGGAAGAAAGGTTCTGGGCGACCATTAATGGATATTGATGAGATTCTGCAAGAAGCTGTTGAGTCAAATTTGACCACGAGTACTCGTGAACTTGGCAGAGAGTGTGTTGGGTCGAAAGATTCTGTTAGTCGCCCTCTACTCTCGATGGGGAAGGTGAAAAAGAGCAGTAGACTGGTTCCTCATAAACTTACTTCTCAGCAATCAGCTAAAAGGTCACAAATTTGTGAAAATTTACTGAAAAATCCTTCTGATATGAAACTCCCACCTCATCCACCATGTAATCCACACCTCCCACCATCAGATTACAATTTATTTAGATCCATGGTCCATACTCTTCAAGGGGAAAAAATTGATAATTTTGCAGAAGTTGAAATTGCGGTCCAACAGTTCTTTGACAGCCATTCCAAAGAATGGTATCAGCGTGGGATTGAGCAGATGGCTAATAATGGTAGATAACAGTGGTCTATACTTTGAGTATTAATTGCATTTTATATCAAAGAACTAATACAATTATTTGGTTGAAAAACGGTCATTTTTTTTTTACACCCTATTAGTATGTAAGATAATGAATCACTGATAAATAGTTTAACATATGTCGTAATTAAAAAGTCTTCAAGAGACTTACGACTTTATTATAATATTCCAATTGTAAGCTACACAGTTAATGACTTTTCTTGGAGATTTGTAACTTTTATTATTTTTCATCTATTTCAATAATATATTATAGTATAACTTGTTTTAAGCCCTTCTGATTGTGTTTTTCTTTTCTTTTCTAGAACTTGAATGTTTGATGAAGATCGCTCAAGAGACTCCTCATCTATTAATGAAACATTGTGAGGAAACGTTGAAGGAAAGGATAGAGATGTATAAGATCATACCCGAAGCAAAGGTAATATTTAGAATCCTTACTTTCAAGATTTATCTAGAACTAGAATTTTTTAACTTTAGTGGTGTGGTACTAAAGTTGATATAATAAACAGAACAAAGAACTAAGTTTGTTTCTTTTAAATTTTATCAATTAAAAAAAAGTTTTTATTAATTTATTGTTACAAAAAACATAAATGCATTGAGTTGGCAAGAGCCTTGGCAGTTTTCTTTAATTTCAGTAAATAAAAAAGTAAAATACCAAGTGTGTAAATAATAAACCGGAATTTTCATGTAGATATTAAACGTTTTTTGCCTAAAAATGTTAACAAATATTTTTCATTATGTAGATTTGACTTTTCTTGAATCATTATAACAGATATTTTATTCGAAACATTGTCCATCTATACATTTTTTCCATCTCTAGCAATCTGAATCCCATGTGAGAAAAACTGTTACTATTTTGTCGTGAACCAATCATAAATCAATTTTCATACATTTTAAAGAAGTGGAGTGCTGCTTAGCAAATGTGAGCCATATCAATACAAATAAATAGTAGGCGGATCGTTTCCTATAATAGTATCTAGGTTTTTTATTGCTATTTATGATGCTTCATTGTCATGAAGCTAAATCACTTTATGGTCTCTTTTTTTGTTTTGTTTTTTTATTTTGGTCGTTTTTCATGCAATGTTAGATTCAAATCCATCATTTTTTATCGACAACAGACAGCCAAATTTTAAGAACTCATAATAGATCACACCCACATTCCATATTCTTCATTTTTCATTATTAGTGTGAATGATTATTTGTATTAAGTTGGAAGATTTATTATACAGCCTGGTTTCAAGTTTTCTTTTGGACTTCAAATGTCTCAAAAGTTCGAATGTCCATAATTCTGAAACTATTAATTAGAATGGGAGAAATTTCGATATCGAAAATTTTGATCGCCCCTTTCCCCAATAATTTGAGTTAAAAAAAAAAGTTTGGAAATGTACAAATTTTATGAAGGCTGCTTCTCTCGCCTGTGTTTAATCTAAACAAATATATTATGCATTCAATTGTAATTTTATTTGTAGATATTTTAAAGTATATATAATAAGTAAAAAAAGAAATAAAATAAAATAAAAATCCTTACAACTATTCTAACATATCAGGAAATTAATTTTAAATGTTATATTGGTTCATTTCACAATAATTATGTTGAATTTTACACATTAAAACCGAAAGTCTGCGCCTATGATACTACTGTAACGTCGACTTTTGGGTTGCGCTTTCTTTGTGATGAGGTAGCAGTGAATAAGTCTAATGTGTCCTTTTTTCAGTCGGGTCAGTGTTATTTTCACTCTATGATACTTGTGGCTAGAGGTGTCCCAAAGATTTACATCTCTTTTTATAATTTTTAGTTTGCTTTATAATCTTTCATTCCACATAAACTGCCATGCGTCTGTAATTACATCTTTCATCAACTTAATTCTCATGGAGTTAAAACTCTTTTTCCCCGTATAGGTAGCATGAGCGCTTCTCTTGCTTATATCTTAATAAATTAATTAAAAGCTTTAGGTTAGCAGCAAACTTCATTTATATTGTAAAATTTTATTGTTTAAGGTATTCTATAAGTTTTTTTTTTTAGTTTTTTATCTGGTAGTTTAGTGTTAGATGTGTTAACATTTGTTCAGCTAGATAATTTGATTTTCAGGTTGAAAGTCTAAGTCAACTCTATGGTCAAGTATCACATTCACCATCAAAGAAATATTTTATTGTAGTTGCTTTAACTTTTATTGGAATGATATTTATTACGGGTATGTTTTGTGGAAGAGCTATGAGAAGATCTATTGCTGGGAAGAGGAAATAATATTCTATATGATTATGAAATTATCTTTGTAATATATTGTAATTTTATGTTGATAGTTTTGTAGATGTCAATTAAAAGATATTTTTATTTTTTGTTTTATTTTCTTGAATGTCTTAAATAAGTCTGAATTAGGTAAAATTTTGATGTTTGTATTTTGAAAATTAATTGTTTATCTTATGATCTGTTGTGTATATTTATGGTAGAAAAAAAACCTTTTTGTTTATTCCAACAATCATGTTTTTTGCTGATTATCTTTCTTAGTTTAAAAAGTATTATTTATAATAAATTTATGTAATTATTTTATTTTTAATGCAGATTTGTTTTTTAAAAAAATGATTTAATTGATAATGTTAATTTTCATCTAAATAATAATATAAATGAAGGTTATAATAGTTCACTTCACTTTTTATTGTTTTTCTATTTTATTTGTAAAATATGTTATTTTTAATTTATATATTGTGATGTATATTGAAGTTTTATTGTAAATCATTTTCTTGATGTCAGCTAAGAAATTCAAAGGAGCATGTAAATATATTCAAATAAATTACACATTTCTATTTTTATATATTTTAAACCTTCCCTTTATTTATTTTTTTATTCCTTTATCAAACGATTCAAAATTCAATTTATTAACATTTATTTATTTTAAAAAGAAACCCCCATTTATTAAGGACCTTTTAAGTAATATAAAAATTCCTAGCCGGTGAGAGAAATTTGAAATTAGGAGATCCGTGACGTAACGAGGTCATGTGAAGATATTACTGCCAGTGTTGTTTTTTAGTTCTTTTTATAGTCTTTATCACATTTCTAGTATTTATTTCTGAACTTTTAAGTTTTTTATTAAGCTAAATGATATTTATAGATGAATACACGTTAAAATCTTTCTAAATTTCCAATTAGTTCGACGTATTTGACTTACGTAGTTTTAGGTTACCACAACAAGTTCATCTGCCATCTTGCAAATAGTGAGTTTATGGTGTTTCATTGTCGATCGTTTAAAACAAAGTTTAAAATTACGGAATCTGACAAATGTTTAAATGGACGGAACGTCCATTATTACTCAAGTCACGCGTGATGAGGAACAATTAGGAAACTACTCCTCAGAGAGAGGTAATTAAAATGAAAACATTGTAGTTAGCTTTTACACCTGTTATAAATTCAATTCCGCCCTTTTGTCTGAACTCCTTAATGCAATGGAATGTGACACATTTGAAAAATCTATTTACATGAATGTTCTCACGCCATCCTTTAGCTTTTATAATTCTAGTGGGAGATTTCAAATGAGGTAAATATTTGTATGGTATTAGTGAATATGTAAACATGAATGCAACCTTGGATTCTTTTTAAGTATAGTTGATGAATGTATTCTTTAAATTTTTAAAATAAAGGGCTACTCTTTAAGAATAATTAATTGTTTTATGCTTGTAATTGTTTTCAACTATTTAGTGAAATAAGGTGTCATTCAAGAGACTTTCAATAAAATATTATGAATTGATTACTTATTTATGAATTGTGAAGTTCACAATATGTCTAACCAAGCCCATTGAAATATGTTTATTTCAATGTTTCAGTTCAGTTGCCTCGTGTGGACAGTGAGTTATGTTCTTCAGGTAATATATTTTTTTATATATCAATTAAAATTATTTGTTTTAAACTGCTTATTTTTTTCACTGTTATTAATTGTAACCCCCTCTGAATCCTACATATAATCCATTATTTACATGTTTCATGTAAGGTTATTCTTTTTGTTACATTAGATCATAGATTCCTAATGGGTGCAGTACCGCCCACCAGTAACCGTTGTTACAGTTTGAGGAGAATACTTTTTAGTCTCAAACTGCCAAACTAAATATTCTTCATATACTAATTTTTGTTATTTAATTTTAAATAAGTAATTTCAATCAAATATCCTTGTTGATACTATAGCTATGATTACTTTTGGTAGGTTCTGTGATACTTAAACTGGGTTTTATGCAATAAAAAAGTACAGAAACCTTTAATTTTAAGTTTTTTGTTTGTACTTTGCTAATTAGTGTTCTATGTTTTTCAAATTATTAATTGTAGTATTAGTAGTTATTTATTTTCCTAATGTATGTACTGATGAATCTGTTTATGTTTCTCGTTGTTTTTGGAACAAATAAATAGAATCCTTTTTTACTTTGGTTATTACTATTTTTATTGGTCGAAAAGCTACAAAATTTAGGTTTTAAAAATTTTTAATTTGGAAAATTTTCTCATGCTATTTACATGACAGTATGAGTTAATAGTTGATGTTTGCTTCAAGTTTTATTTATGAAAATTTAACTTTTTTTTTTTTGTTTCTTTCCTCGTCTTAAAGGCTATGAAAATTTAACTGTTACATCTTTCAGAAATTTTTATGTTTGTTTTCGTAATTATTACTGATTGCTGTTAGATCTTATCTTCATTCAGATATACTTCCATAATAGGTTTAATCACTTGAAGGATTTAATGTATTATTTAATTTCAAAGAATGTGCTGTTGCATAACAAATTATGTATCTGAATAAATGTATTTTTGTAAAACTTAACAATTAATGTTTGACCTTTAACTCATTACTTTATTTACTGATTGGCAACACCAAAACATTATATATTTTACAGTATACTATTGTTATGCCCATCTTTTATGTTTTTGTTTACACTACTTGTAATATCGTGAACTTAAGATTTTAGTAATCTATCATTGATATTTAGAATCTGTTAATGTCATGTTAATCTGAAGTTGCTTTGAATTATTCAAGATAATATATTAAAATCTTTTTTTGTAATATAAATCAATGAAAACAATATTAGTGAATTTGTATTTATTTCAGTTTAACAAACATCTGTTATTATGTTGTTGAACTGTGTAATAGATACCATGTTTGTTCTGAGGCCTTGACAATGAAGCAATAACTTGAATAATTAGCTATGAATATTTAGAAAAGTTGTATTTGATTGTTGGTTTTTTAAATATTTTGTTATATATATATATATATATATATATATATATATATATATATATATATATATATATATATACATATATATAAATAAATAATTAAAGATTATTAAATCAATCAAAATTCCATTTTTAAAATTATTTACTACAGTTTATCACTTGAATATTTCATAATATTTATTATTTGAATTAAAAGTATTACATGGCCCGAATTTAAAAACAGTACCTTGTTATAATGTACTCAATGATGCATTTTCCTTATTGCTGAGGGATTCTTTCTTAGATTCTTATGTTATCCTTAATGGTGAAAATTTTTTTTTAATAGTTTGGTGATGTTACTGAATTGTTTTTAAGATATGAAGTGTGTATGTATATACATGATGCATAATATACTTCTTTTTTTTTACTAGGGATCCCTACTAGCAAATTGTTTACTTTCCCTTAGTCAAAAATTATCACTTTTCTTATTTATTCTGCCTTCTTTTTTTTTTTTTTTTTTTTTTTTCATTATTGAGGGTATAATATAGTTTGATACAGAGACTGATATGAGGTACGAAAATATTCAGGTCTTCCTTTCTTAAAAAGAATCAGCTGTTGTATAAAATGTTAAAACATCAATAGGATGATAATACTAAAAAATAAAATTATAAAAATCTGAAAGAAAAATATGTGTGCACTTTTAGAAATAACATAAAAATCAGCAAGGGACAATACAAGGCAGTTCATATGAAGACATTTAATTTTGTTTTGAAAACTCGAACAAAGAAAAATTAATAGAATAAGGTAAAAACCATTCAAATCAAACCATGATCTTCTTTTGTAGCAATGTAACATTGCAGTAATTATTTTTTAAACAAAAAAGTCTCCTAATTAGTTACAAACAAAAAATGAAAACAAGACAACTTAGGGAACTTTAATGAAACTAAATCCCACTATTTGTCTAGTAGGAGTGCCCCTACATTATTTTTTTTAATGCATTAATTGAACAACAATTAGATAAACAAAACAATTAGATTTTATTTATCCTGAAAAGGTTATGGTCCAACTATGTGCACCATCACACACCATCCATAGGGAAGTGTATGTTGATTATCCATGACTCACCACCACCAAAAATATAATCATTATAAATCATTAATTGTAAAGCATCCACCACTCAATTATTTATTTAATCACAAAATTTAATTATTTTTTTTTTAAGTTATTATATATCAATCGATATGTTTTTCTTTTTTATGTAAAATGAGAAAAATATATTGCTAATCGTATTAAACAAATTCTAACGTATAATAAATTACAAAAACTCATTGTAGTTTCCAGTAAAGTAGACTAAGTAAATCTTTTTTATGAAAAAATGTTTCAGATTTGATTTTAGCATCCACTTAAACTCTTGAACACGAGTTTGTTTTGAAATAAAACATATAAATTTTTGGACTTAATTTTATGGTAGCTCGGTGGTAGAGTACTGAGCTTCCAATGCTAAAGGTCCCAGGTTCGAATCCTGGCTCATGGCAGAAAAATTATTTATTCTGTTTCATTGGCTGTGGGGGATTATTAATAAAGGAAAACCTGACCTGACTATTGAGCATGATCTTGGTCAAATCACACCCTTGCATAACCTTAGACCAAGAAACAGTACTCTACCTAAATAGTACTGAACCCAAGACCCTTCATGGGTTGTAGTGGTACAGGTTTTATTTATACGATAATAATAATAATTACATACATATATATATATATATATATAAATATAAATAAATAAATAAATACCCTGTGTGTGTGAGCGCATGCATGTGTGCACACAAAAGGAAAAAGGTATTATGACCAAAGTCATAATAGGCAAAAAAGATTTTTTTTTTTTTATCACAACATTTTGACAAAATTTGTGATAACTTCAACATGGCTCCACTTATCCATATAAAAATTAGCATGAATTTAGGGCCCTATAATATACACAAACCAGAAGTCTGCAAATAAATTAAGCTTGGAAATAGAAAATCCATGGATCTCATAGGAGCTATTACCAGGAGGCAAAAAGGCTAGGAGGCAGTAATTTTTCCTCTAATGAGTTAAATCAGCAACAATGTAATTTTTGAAAGGGTTGGGGTCTTTTGCCATAGAAGAGGGGTTAATACCCATTTTCAGGAGGCCATCACTCATTAGAAAACCTAATTAAAAGAAGGATTTATCTTTTTTTTTTAATGGGAAAGTGTTGCTTTTTTCTTTATAATTTATTAATAAAAAATATTTGCTTCTTGTGATTGACTTAATTTTTATCACAATGAAAAAAAAAAGTTATGGAGATAAATAAGTATCCATTTATTTTCCTGCTGAATGTATTTTAAGCTATGGTTTTGTCAACACAATACTATTGATACAGGTATAAAAAAGAGAGGGCGAGGTGGTGTCCTAAGGAGCCTTTTATGCTGCTTTGGAGGTGGTTCTACAGATGGTAGTAAGGGATCTGGCGGTCCAGGAGATGCTGGACGATACTCACCTCCCCTCAGCCCTGGATCACCAAGGTTTCTTTTACCTCCTGTCAGGCACCAGGACATGCACAAAAAGTGCATGGTTATTGACTTAGATGAAACACTTGTCCATTCATCTTTCAAGGTAGAAACACTTATCCATTATAGTTTTTAAAGTTAAAGAATAAAATTAAATTTAAAGTATTGTTTCTTGTGTTATTTTAAGAAAACATATTACCATTTTGGTGTGATGAGTAAAATGTAGTTTTAATACTTTTGGGCAGACAAGTTTAATTAACCTAGTAAATTGAATTTAAATGGAAGTAAGCCTGGTTGTTGATGTTAGTAGAGGTTTGATTTTTATTTGATTTTCGAGTTGTACGTATCGTGAAACGTAAAACCTCAGATTTTGAGGGCGGGGGAGGGATTTAATTTTTGTATTTTTTGAACTTTTACAATGGTTCATTATTGAAAATAATTTTTTTTAATTGAGTCTACTGAGGCCTATATCTTATTTGTACTGCCAAAATAGTATCTGTCCTGCTGTTCTTGTCGACAAGTATATAAATTAATAGTCTTCCTTATTGTCCAATTACAGCTATTTCCGTAATATGGAATTTTTCTCTAAATGACTTAAAAAGTCTGCTAATTCCATATAAAGGTTTTGATAGGCACTATGATTATTTGATATTTGTATATATTAATTTATGAACAAAATATGTTAATTTATATTTTTTAGAAATTATTTATATGTTTTGTATTCCAGTTAAAAAAAAAAGATTTAATCAACTATTTCATTTAATTTTCAGGATTAATAAATTGAGCAATAATATTTGCTTTCAGATTAACTGTCAAACCTTTTGATTTTACAGCCAATCAACAATGCTGATTTTGTAGTACCAGTCGAAATAGATGGAACTGTTCATCAAGTGTATGTGCTGAAAAGACCTTATGTTGATGAATTCTTACAACGGATGGGAGAACTTTATGAATGCATTCTCTTTACTGCCAGTCTTGCCAAGGTATTTCAAATTGTTACAAATATGTTTTTTTCTAAAATAGATTACCAATATTAATTCTTTTTATCAAGTGATTAATTTTTACTTTCACTTACCTATATATGAAATATACAGTAAGGGAAAGTATTGTGATCGTGAAAATTTTCGAATCTGATTTTTCAATGAAAATATGTTTTGAGGTCCCCTGATTCTAAATAACTAAGTCCCCCAAAATGGTCTTTGTGTGTGTGTTAACAGTCTAGCTCAAAAACGAAAAGCCGTACGAAAGTGAAATTGCATATTTAAGGCTTTTATATGCTTGGGATGTTAAAGCAACTTTTTCTTTAAAATCGGATAGTCGGAAGTGGCACTTTATATCATGGACTAAACACGTTTTTACGATTTGCTCGAAAAGGGCTCTAATAATTTTGGTTAAATTCGTTATATCAACGTAAAATAAAGCAGTTTTAAATAAAATGTAGGTTTTATTCTGATTAATGTGCTCTAGCATCCCTTAAATGGCTGATCTTCAATATTAGCGTCCCCTGAAGTACTGTTAAATTTTTTTTATTTGAAACACTTGAACATTCCACATTAATATATAATATAAAAGATAGCTAAATATATAATATGAACGAATTTGATAATTAACTAAAATATAAATAAGAGATCGTAACTGAGAATAGTTGTAATTCAGGAACCAAAGGAATACGAGCGCACCCAAGCTCACCCGAAAGATCAGAACACGCTTCCCTGAGTAACATGACCTTAATATAACACGGACTGCTACAATATTATGTAAATATACATATGCGGTTTTCATAAATGCTATTGTTGGTAATATTTAATTGTATAGATTAGAGCGATATAAATATCAAAATTTGTTTATATAAGCATACTTATTCAAATAAAAATATCCACAATGAAATATAAATCAATATAGCATTTATAATTTTTACTTTCTCTTCCTCTTTGTCTGAAAATACTTATTTCTGTTAAGAAGAGGGTAGTTAGTGAAAGTTGTGTGATTCACGCACTGCAACAGATTTTTTGGTTTAGTTATAAGGTTCTTCACTCTTGTTATTCTATCAATATACTGTGAAGAAATGTTTGTTTAAGATTATCAACTGATGTGTGTTAGATTTTATATTTGAACAACTTTGATTATGATGTTATTAAGATCAAATATTGTTTTCATGTATGTTTGGTCACTTAATAATTTGGTATGAGCCAAATATTACCCATTGACCTATAATTGAGTGATAGTGCGCTGGTTACTATAAGAATTGGTGTGGACTGTATGAGGTTGGATCACTAAAATTTAACATGTATTAATTAAACAAATGATTCAAAACATGATTATATTTATGTCATGGGTATAAACAGAAAAAAATAAAATTTGTGCACTTATACAATTTTGTTGATCTTGAAAATTGAATCTTTTTGTAAACTTAAGGAATTAATTTAAATTAATTTCATTAAATCAGAATAGTGGTGACTTTATGGCAAAATAAGTTTGGTAAAAGTGACTGAATAAAACTGGCTATGATGTTGTTATAATTTTAATTTTTATTACTGTAATCAATTATTGTGAAATGAATAAACTATCCAAGAACCATTTATTTGTTAGATCCAAGGCTTGGAGGATCAAATTGTTTTGTCACTGTAATTTGGTGTGAGCCAAATATTATCCATTGACCAAATTAAGTGATAGTGCGCTGGTTATTGTAAGAATTGGCGTAGACTATGAGGTTGGACTAGGTGAACCTGAGTTATGAGGCTGGTGGCACCTCTTCACTTGACCAGCCTTGATGAAGCTAGATAATTTGTTAATATTGAAAAATGAGGTGTGGATCTAGCGTTGTCTTGGTGGAACACAACACGCTTCCAATTTGCCAGTCCTGCCCGTTTATTTTTAATTGATTGATCCAATTTTGTTAATTGTGAGCAGTATAGAGTTGAATCAATTGTTTTTCTTGATGGCCATAGGTCATAGAAAATCCTATCCTTGAAATCCCACCATATGGAAAGCATTATCTTCTTTGGATGCAATCCGGGTTCAAGTTTTCAAAAATGGTTTGTTGCCGATTCCGTAGTGAATCACAAAAAGAAATGCATGTTGACAAGTTGACTTCGGTTCAGAGAGTGAGGGACCCCCAACATTAAACCTGAAAATATGGCCGAGCTTGTGCAATTGGTTTTCTATGCTTGTTTTCTTGCATGGTTTTTATGCTTGTTGGTTTTCTACACATTTAGAGCCATAGCGATCTCTCGCTCTGATTGGTTGGGATTTTGATCAACAATGGCCTTAAGAATAGTCGTTTCAATTTTATGTAGCGACCAGACCGTTGAGCATCATTGATGTCAAAATTTCTTGAATGAAATTTGGCAAACCAATTTTGACAGGTGCATTCAGTTAAGGCATCACCCCCATAAACACTGCAAATTTTTCTATGAGCTTCTGCAGCACGCTTACCTTTTTTAAAATAATAATAATAATAATAATAATAATGCTTTGTTTATTCTGGGACAAGTCCCTTTAGAATAATATAAAAAGACAACAATATGGGCTAAGGAGCCTTAGAGATACATAAACAAAAATATACAGTAATTAAATAGTCAAAATAAAAAAAAATAATAGGAAAAATTATAAGTTACTTACTAATTTAGATCAGTTAAAAATAAAAAACAAAAAATTGAAAATAAATATGAAATAAAAATAATGAAGAACGCTCTAATAATTTATATACATATTTGCAGTAGTAACTATTTACAATTTTACTTTTCTATACTATTACAATAGTAGGGAGGAATAATTGGGTAGGGAAATCTGGGAGTAAGGGATAAAAGGTTTTAACTAGGTTTCGGATATTGCCATTATGTGGTAAAAATTATCAAGGGAATGTTCCTGAAATTCATTCTAGTGTGCAGTAAGGGATTGTGCATTGATGTGACAGGAATTCAGGATATTCGTCATGACTGGAGGGTTGGGAAGTAGGATTTTCGAAAAAAAAAAAAAAAATGATCAAGGATGAAGGATAGGATATAGCATTTTTTAAGCATAATGTCAAGTTTATAAATATAAAAAACCAATGCTTACATAAAATAAACTTTGAGATGAAAAATAAATAAATTTTCGGTGTTTCGAAATAAATATTCAGTTAAAATTAATTTATAACATAAGAAAATATAAATTTCTCCTTGGTCTAGATAAATTGATAAATATTGGTAAGGAATCGAATAAAGTTCTAAATAATTTATACAAAAATAAAATAAGCTTAAAATTAAAATAATAATATTTCTGATGAATAAAAATTGATACAAAAAACAACAAGAGAAGCTACATTTATTAAAAAATAAAGAAAGCTGGAAATGAAAAAAATATAATAAATATATTTCTAGCGAGAGAAAGTAAATTAATTGCAAGCTGAAGGTAACTTATATACAAAGTTCAGCTGAAAACGTCCAGATCACTTGGTTTTTCTATAATTACTACTGGACCTCCATTGTAATACTACAAAATATGCCGATATTTTCTTCCTAATTCATAGTACAATAGCAAACACAATACTCAGCTAGTTTCAACAAAAGTTAACAGTTATAATTGTTGACATATTACAAACAGGATAAATAATCCACCTTAGGGATTAATTTATCAGATAAGAAGTGTATCATAGTGACATAAAAATAAACAGAAAAACCGAAAGGACTTATTTGCCAACCGAATATTTTAATTTATTAAAGGTTAGTTCCCATTATAGTTTCATTTTATTTAATATATATAATTTAATATGCTTAGTTTCATTTTAAAATTGACAGAAGCGATTACATTTGTATTTGTAATACATAAATACATAATTATAAATTTTCATATCCTTATGATTTATATAAGTATTTTATTGAGTTTTTATTTTTCTGTTTGTATGATTTTCCAGTTATGGGAGAGTCTAAAGTACTCAAAATAATAAACAAAACCAAAAAAATATATCCTACTTAATGCCAAATGAAATTTGAATATTATACTATAAAATCAATTATTAATCACATTCTCACTAAAATCTTTATAGAGTCAGTAATACTATTGATCCAAATTTCAACCAAACATAATATGAAAGATTACATAAAGCTGTAATCTTGAAATAATCAAGTCACACTTATGGAAATAATGAATTGTTCTGTGTTATAAGGTTTGTGGATATTAAGGGATTACTATATTTTTCATCAAATAAACATCTGTGTGTGTCCATTAAATCTCATAAAATCTTTTACAGTATGCTGATCCCGTTGCTGATCTTCTTGACAGGTGGGGTGTTTTTAGGTGTCGACTCTTTAGAGAGTCTTGTGTCTTCCATCGTGGTAATTATGTTAAGGATCTTAACAAGCTCGGAAGGGATCTTCAAAAAGTTGTTATTGTTGACAATTCACCAGCATCATACATATTTCATCCCGACAATGCTGTAAGTAAATCATTGCCATGTAGATATTATTTAATTAATTTAGCATTCAATTTAAATTTTTGGAAGGTTAGAACTCTTAATCGTTTTTAACATGTTAGATGCGGTTACGGTCTTCAGTATCTGATAGCTTTTTTTCAGATATAATGATTATTTATGTTTGTATCCATCTTTACATCGTTCCAACTCCCATTCAAGTATTTTTAAAAATGACCATTTTAGAGACTTCATAAGATAGGCAAAATTAGAAACAATCCTGGGCAAATTCGAGACGAATATCAGGAACCCTAACCACAGCTAACGTGTTGATTTAATATTTAACGTTATTAATTAATAACAATATTTATATATTTATGAACATTAATTATTGCTTTTAGATAAAATAATGTGTATTATTAATGTTATGATTATTGAATACAAATGTTACTCTAATCTCATTATAGTTACCTTCAAAATAGTAATGGAAAAGAATTTTTTTCATGAAAAAAGAAAAGATTTAGGTGTCTTTTTTATAAGAGAGGATCAAATTATATGTAATTGAGTGGAATCCTGAAAAGGAGAGAAGAAAAGAGATTGAGAAATGGATGTCAGATGAAAGAAACAAACTTGAGCAAGTTATGCAATCTTTTGTACCAGAAAAATAAATGAAGAACCTGTACCTTCTTTTATTGTGCATTGAGTAATAATTGAATTCCTTGCAAGGGAGGGGGTTGTGTTATAACATTTTTTTTTCATATTGTGGCACCAGCTAAAGAAATGAACCGGATCACTTGCCCAAGTATCTCACTAACAGAAAAAGTATCAACAACTAAAAGTCATCAACATTTTCTCTGGACAAGTGAGCGTCCAATGAGACAGTTCTTTGCTTTTCTGAAATTTTCTGAAAAGTGTGTCTAGTGATAGTGATAATTGAAATAGCTCAATCAAAAGATAATTATGAATATGCTTATATTATATATTAAATGGCACTATATCCCAATTATTTGAGACTTGGCCTGCTCCAGCATGGATCTCCAGTTCTCCCGGTTAGTTGCTGCAGCCTTCCAATTTCTGACACCAAGTAGTCTACATGCATCAGCAGCCACACAGTCTTGCCAGAGCAAACATGAATATGCTTGAATTAAAAAATATCAGTCGGCTAGTTTCTGGTTCCGTTGATGAAATGAATGTTATCAACGTCTGCGATTAGTAGTATTGCTTGACCGTTTGGCAGCTTCTATCTGGACTGCATCATGACTTCTGTTGGATTATATGTTAATCATTAAGCATTGAAAAAAAAGGGCAACTTTGGTGTAGAAAAAAAAGAGTTTGTTCTCCCTTTAGAAAAAAATTGAAACACAATGTTTTGTTGGCTTTCTTTTGAGGTTCTAAGAGACTCATTGCACTTGATATTATGACCAGAATATCTTAATTACTAAGTATTGTAACAAACCTCTTGAATAAAGTTCAACTGAAGCCTTCGCACTATACAGGTGTTCCACTCAATAAATAATGTATATTATTGGTGATTATTATTATTGCCATAGTTGATTGGTTTTAAATATTTTTAATGGTTGTGAGAGGATAGAAATATTGTTTTTTTTTAATGCTATTACATGTCTTCAACGCGTCTGTTTCATTTCCAGAAATTCATAGAAAAAAATGAAGACGTTTTACTTTTCTAAAATTACTTAAATTTTATAATTATGCTATAAAAACCTGATTCTTAGGTGTGTTCTCATTTAATAGTATTGTAATTGTTGGATTTGTTTTGGTGTAGTTTAATTTACAGTCATATATTTTATTGGAAGGTGCCTGTAGCATCATGGTTTGATGACATGACAGACACCGAGATGTTAGACCTCATCCCATTCTTCGAAAAGCTTAGTAAGTCAGAGAGTGTCTACTCGATGCTGTGCAACTCGAACCACCCTTATTCTGCTAGTGGAGGAGGAGATATTAATAATCACATTTCGTCATAGCACAACCTTTGCTTCCTCTTCATAACTTCACCCTGTGCCAACTATGCCTTCACTAAATATTCAGTGTCTTTAACATAGACCATTTGTAAAATTTGTATGTGTGAATGTGAAGATGTAAGTCTTTATGTATATATGTATACAAACAATAAAAAAGTAATAGGATATATATATCCACGCTGTATGACTGGCAAGAGAAGAAATTTATGTATAACCAATGTCTCAAAAAGTTTTATACATTTGATAACCTTTGTAGCCATTAATTTTGACTTCACCGTGTAAATATGTATTTTCCTCTAGCTATATTTCTGTTTATTTTTTTTTTTTAATTTGATTTCCAGTTTTTGTTTTATTTTTAAATTCTTATAATGCTAGAGGGAAATATATACTTTTTATAAATAAGTTTCAATAATGTTGCTGATAAGCAATGCCTGTACATAAAATCGTAAATATTGTACTGTAATAAAGAAATGATAATATAAATCTTATGTTATTTTTAAATATAATATTTTTAAAAAATACAAAAAAAAAATAAATATATAAATATATATATATAAAACAGTCTTGTACAAAATGTTGTTTTATGATACTATATGTACCATACTGTTGTTAAAATTTATAATGTTAGTACTAATTTTTTATAATTAAAAAGAGTACTTGAAAGTTGTCAGTAGGTTGTGAAACTATAGTTCCGAATATGTATTAATTTTTTTTTTAATTGACTCCTCTGAGTAGAGGATCTGAATTTGTTTTATTTATATAATTTTTGGCTTTCTATGTTAAAAAAAGAACAATACCCTGAAATTGTTAAATAGTTGTTATTAAGTATTATGTTGAGTATTTATTTATTTTTTCCATTTTATTTTAATGTGAAGTTTCGGATTGTTTTAATTTATTTCATTTAAGTCTTAATTAATCATAAAGACTATAAAGAATCTATAATTATTTTATGTGATTACATCATATATCAATTGTAAAGTACCTTTAAACACTAATTATAAAAATACAAAAATAAAAGTAATTTTTGTTTTTTAGAATCATCAAATTTCAATTAACAAACATATCTATATTCTGTGATTTAAAAAAAAAAAAAATTATTTTTTTTTATTTCTTTATGACATTTACAACTGTATTACATAAATACATCAAGTAAATTTGGACATAATTGATATAATGACTTGAATACACTTGCTGAGTAACTACCCAATGGTAGCACTCAAAAAAAAAAAAAAAAAAAAATTAAATTTAAATACCAATTTAAGTTAAGTTCACTATATACTCAATCCATTTTAAATTGCCCACATATTTTTGATTTTTATAATTTATTCACCTGTAATTTTTTTTTTTTTTTTTTTTTAATCTTATGCCTTGATCGTTTTAAGCTCTTTCGGCCATACTACGTCTAGCAGCCAAGTAAATTTCACCTTCTGTCCTGGCTTTGTTTCTAATGTTCTGTAGTCCGGGACAAATCAATAAATGCAGAGCAGTCATGAATCCTTGTTGATACAGTGGACAAGTTATTGATTCGACAACTCCAATATGGTATAGATGGTTTTGGAGATAGTCATGTACGGTTTTCATCCTAAACTGTGCAACGGCCTGGCCTTACTTCTAGGGAGATCCACTGCCACTCTTCCATTCTCTTCTTGTAATGAAGCCTATTGATTCTCCTTTAACTCCCTCTGCTGTTTCTGTTACAATTCTTCAATGATTACTGTTTTGATTAGCTTCTTTGCTGTCAAGAAAGGGATTGGCATATTCACCTGTTATTCCATATTATTTCTTGAGTCCAAAACTGTTTTTTTTTTTTCCACAAATTTTTTCATGCTCACAATTTTTTACTTTCACTTACCTACATATATGAAATATATAGTGAAGGAAAGAATTGCGATAGTGAAAGTTTTTGAATCTCATTTTTCAACAGAAATACAAATTTTGACGTTCAATTAACGAAGTCCCACGAAATGGTCTGTGTGTGTAACAGTCTAGCTCAAAAAAAACAAAGCAGTCTACCCACAATGAAATATAAATCAATATAGCATTTATAATTTTTACTTTCACTTCCTCTTTGTCTTAAAATACGCCTCTTTGTCTTAAAGAACGCCAATAGGCATTTTCAAAGTTGAACATTAAAAAAGAAACTAAATGAAAAATTATGATACTAATTCAATTTACCTCTTTATAATAATAATAATATATGGCGCTGAGTTAAACTGCTTCCAGAATTATAATTCATCAAATATTTCTATTTGGTGAGTGTAGTTCTCAGAGTATTATTCTTTCTTGAACTAGTGACAATTGTAAAACTTTATAAATTGAAATCAACTAACAATTCTCTTGTTTGAAAGTAAATAAGTTTGTATTATTTATTTTACTCAAAAATTACAAATATAAGACTATTTTTATTTATTATTAACAATTATTTTTGAAATTCATATAGTTATTAAAACTTATTATGAATTGGCAGACCAATTTTATTGCTATTGTATATTGTGGTATTTTGGAGGGAAATTCGATAGGTGTGTGATAGAGATGGTTTTGGTTTGAGACTGATTTCTACGAGTTCAAGTAGGAAATCTTTTTCTTCAAAGCATGAAGACAGTTTTTAGAGAAACAAGTTTTCAATCGAAAAGCAAATTCCAAATAGCTACCTAGAAAAGTGTGAGGCTGAAAATTTTTTTAACCATAATTCGTCTAATGATACAGAATAATATTAAAAATATCTATCAACAAAATTTATTCAAATTGAGTAACTTAAGATAGATAGATTGGGACAGTATAGGACTTTCTTGGGACGAGGAAAGGGGAAGATAGATTGATTGTTCTCTATATCTATTGGTGACTATATGATTTATAGAACAACAGAATAAAGATGTTAAATAGCAGACTATCATCACATATGTAACAGGTTTTTTAAGGACCAGTATGAGTCTTTTTTTTTTTTTCAGTCAGTTATGTTGGCATTCATTTTTATTTCCTCACTACCAAAGGTAAGGAAGCTTTGTAGTCTTGCAGGAATTGAAAAAAAAAAAAAAAAAAAAATGTCTCAATCGAAAGTATTCATTTTACATTTTAGAGATACAGGAAGAAAAAATCTTGTACACGCAACACAACTTTCACTTACCACTCTACTTGAATATAAATTATTTTCTGGCTACTATAAAATTTTTGAAGTGCATTTTTAACAGAGCTAAAGCTTAAAGCTTACATTTAAAATCATTAATACCATTAAAAAAACAAAAATATTATTTATTATATCGGCAGTTGATTATAGATTGTACGATTCGTTGTTTATGGATTGTACGACTATTAATTATTAAACTTTTTTTTTCCATTGCAAAGTTTACTAAAATGGAATTACGAGATTTGCATAGCCTATTTTAGATAGGTCAAAAGTTATCACACTAATTGTTAGTGGATACTGTTCGGATATCACAAAGAGAAAATTCATCAAATTATTCACCAATTTAATTTTCTAAAAGTTTACATGATTTTTTGGAATAAACGGTCGATATATACCCAATTATTTAAATATAATATGAGATCTTGACTTATTATACTACTAACTAAGGTTAAATATCCGTGAAATATTTTTATATTTTACTTTTACTTTCAGACAAATACAATGAAATAGTATTTTAAACAATGTCATTGCCTTGGTTTGGTGGAGTTTAAATACATTTTTCAAACAAAAATAAATTTAAATGTTTACATTTAGTAAGAAAATTTCATTTAACTTCCATGAAAACATGTGATTAACATTAAATAATATTAGTTTTCAAAAATTATTACAATTTTTTTGCCACTCTCCGTTACCTTCTACAAAGATGTTGTTTTTTCTAAAATTCTCCGCTTTCCAAAGATATATTAAATGTATACCTTCTCACTGGTATTTCCGGTGATTCATTTTCGACCTGATAAGCATGTTTCTCCTTTATTCAAATATCAAATTCTTTCAAAAGTTATATTTAGCCTTTTTCCATAACTCTTAAACAATTAGTGATAGTTAATTATTTACAATAACCAAATTAAAGGTACTTTAGAGGAAGGCATATTTGAACATTGGGCATTTAAGCCATGTAAAGTGACATCAATGTGGATAAGACCTAGCTGATATTAAAAACAACTTAATAATACACTGATATGGCAAGTTTAAGATAAATTGTTAGAGCCATTTTTGAGAAAGTGTTGGAAAATCGTCAAAATATGTATCACCATTGATATAAAGTGGCACTTCCGGTTACACGATTTTAATAAAAAAGTTGCTGTCTCATCAGAATCATGTAAAAATTTTAAATATGCAATTTAAGTTTCGTACAACCTTTCATTTTTGATCTAGGCTGTCACATACACACGGAGACCATTTTGCAGGACTTATTTTGACTCAAGGGACCTCAAAACGTGTATTTCTGTTGAAAACTGAGATTCGAAAATGTTCACGATCGCAATACTTTCGCTTACTATATATTCAATATATGAAATGAAAGTAAAAAGTTTGTTTCCAAATTTGTCTAGTAGAATCTATGTGGTTGTCAATATAACACCTACTACCATTAATCCAATTTGATGAAATTTTCTGATGTTTTTGTACCTTGATGGTCAGTGCCATATCTATTTTATCAAATTCCGTCCACTTCTTCAGTCTATTCATGTTTAAAGGTTTCTTCTTCAATACAGTATAAAATGGCTTGTCCAGTTGAAAGAGGAACACTGAGTGCTTAATAGAAACTACGAGGAAACTATACTGATTTTTTACTATTCTTGGCAGACATTTATTTTACTTGGGTTAATCTCATCTAAGTAGCTTTCAAATTCTATTGTAATTGATTATCCTGGAACAGTTTGTCACTAATTTTATTAATTTGCTTTATTTTTATTCTTTTTTTTTTTGTTTATATATATTTATGTGTATGATTTAATTATACATGGTAATATTTCCTCTATTAATCTAACATTGAAATAAGTTCTTGTTGGATATTTTCATATTCTTCCATTAGAATAGAACTTATTTTTCAAAGGGATTGCAGTATTTTTAGATATTCTCTTATTCGTCTTCACTATTTGTTTCTTAAATATTCAGTCAGTAAAAACTCCTTACTACATATTAGATATCATGTACTAGTGTATTCACAGTTATTCAGAAGTCAGTATTTTATAACAAAATACAATACTCAATACATTTCTTCTTGAAATATTTCTGTTCAGTGCCATAGAAATGGACAGATATTGAAAATTGTTATTGAAATATATTCCATTAATAAACAATTTGAGTTTTGTATTTATACATCATCATCATCATCATCATCATCAATGGCTCTACAATCCTTGAATAGCCAAGGCCTGCCGCAATTTCAACCACCAGTCCTCTCCATGTAATGCTGCTGCCTTCCAGTTGTGGACACCAAGGATACTTCTGACGTTGGCTTTCACTCCATCAGTCCATTTGAATCTCGGTCTGCCTACCCGCCTTTTGGCGAAGATCCGCTCATCCATCAACTTCCTTAGCGCATGTT